TATTCCTTTGGTTAAGGACGGTCAATCTTTTAGGTATGAACATCTAGCAGAGAGAAATAACCAGAAAATATGCTGACAATTGGAGAGAGGTCACCGAAGACGAAGCCGTTGACGACTCGAACTAAATAGAACGAATTACTAAAGTTTAACTTCGTAAACATTTATAAATATGAGAATTTTAAATTCTCCTTCATTATTATTTTAATTAATTATAAATAATGTATATCCTCTATCTGTTCTAGCAGTGAATATCATGTACTAGAAATGACACTTCTTCGATGGCGCCGTTGTAAGCCATTTCGAAGTTCACAACATTCCTACTATATTCTGTGCGACTTTTTAAAAATGCATGTTTGACATTTCTAATTTTTTTTTTTTAAAAGTATTTTTCCTTAAAATATTTTATAGGACAGAAAAAAAATTGTGATCGATTGGGCAAAAACGATTGTTCTGAATGGAGATAAACGCCATCGCATTTGCAGAGAAAGGCCCCCCTTTCATCTCTCGACCAAGTCCAGGAAATGTGGGGGGAAAATTCTTTCTAAAACCTTTCTTGTGCACATTTAGGCACCATTAAGCCATAAATTATACCTTACAAGCTGTGAATTATTCAATTATCACTTAATTATTTTCTAACAGGTTTAAGACACAACAAATGAGCTCTTTTGTATATAAATAAGTACTTCGCTTGACCAGGATTGACACCTATGACGTCAGAGCAATGGCGCGTAACATCTGCGATCAAAATATGCATATTGAGAAATTCAAACTTTGAATCGCTGAAACATCAAAAATATTGATTTTCTAGCAAAAAATTTTAAATATATGATTTTAATAGCATGTAAACTTTTTCATATCAAAAAATTTTGAGACGTGATAAAAACACTTTAAGCTTGGATATTACAAAAAATGGAGGGGTGTTATCGATCGACACCTCTGTAATTGTGAGGCGGACAAATCTGTATCTAGCAAGATCACTTGTACACAAAAGTATATTAAAATAATAAACATACCATCAAAGCCATCCTCCTCAGTCTACAAGCACTTGGTCTGTCTAAATAGAAAAGTGAAGACAACGGTGAACAGACACACGGTGACTACACAGGTGAACTGAATCTCCTGAATCAGCAAATGACGCAGCATCAGAGAGAAGTTGAATTTCGAAAATTTCGAACCCGATGTTAAAAATATCCTCCCGATCCCGTTAGTTTTTCGTTGATATTCTCCGCACCGTTTAACATATTAAGTTAATGCTTTTCAGACACATTAATTCTGTTGAACTAAATTCACTTAAACATAAAAATATTTTTAAAAAAATTACGAATGTTGGGATTTGTTTATATGAACTGTAATATTTTTTTTAACCCCAGTACAGGCGCGGATCCAGGATTTTTTTTCCAAGGGGGGTCCACCCAGTCAAATAAAAAAATCCAACCCAGAAATTTCTTGCAAAGCAAAAAACAAAAAAACAAACAAACAAACTTTTAAATTCAAAAGTGAAAGATCCGCGCATGTCCTAGCATAATAATATTAATATACTATGGGTAAAAAAAAATATTACAGAAACAATTGCCCGTGTTATATGTGTGCAGCAGATGTATTTCAAATTGCAAATTCAAAATTCAAAACAAAATCATTGATGAAAACCAGGTGTAAAAGGGTTCTTAAAATATTATCTTCATTTTTATGTAAAATATCTGATATGAGAAAAAACGTTTTAGCTATAAATGAGTAACTACATTGTTATGAATTATTTAGTATCTGATGAGTACATACAGTACACCAATTGTTTGTATTGTAGTTGTTTTCTACTGTATTATTATCCTTATTAATATGTTCTGTATGGGTCTTTACCAATTTCTGTAATTGTGTTTGTGCCAATAAAATATTTGTATTTGTATTGCCTGTGTTATGTATGTGCAGATGTATTTCAACGCAGAAACGTCTTCATACGATTTCCCTTACTAGCTCATGAGGAGCCACAGAGAGTTAAAAATATTGTGGTCGATCGAGGTTCAGGACCTGAAGTTTATAGGACGGACTTATTATCACCCTCCAATAGTCTGGGCGTGTGACCTGTTGTATTTCCTTTTACTAAGCTGTTTCACAATTCGCATTTTGAGCACCAAACAAAAAGTTTATATGAAATATGAAGATAGCGAACAGTTTTGTATAATACAGAGTACAAGTCACACATCACCATAACGTTCATGCGCGGATCTAGAGGGGGGGTCAAAGGGGGGGTCATAACCCCCCCCCGGGAATTGCAGAATTATTAAAAGTATATACTGGAGCAAATAAAAAAATAACTTTGTACCCCCTAGAAAATCTGGACCCACCACCACCACCACGAAATAGGTGTTTTTCAACATTCAATGGTCCGAGGACTACTAAGCTTTTGAAAATCACTAGTCCTTAACATATTAATTCACTATAGTCCAATGCAAAAAAAAAAAGAAAAAGAAAAAGAAAAGAAAAAAAGACTGAAACACTAGCTGTTTGTTAAGAGTTTACTCATGGCTCCTCTTGTATCGTGCTGTCAATCAATCGGATGCTATCAAACTGATGCTTGAAACTTGTTTCATATCAAACATCAGGCGCGGATCCAGGAATTTTTTTTCCAGAAAAGGGGGGGGGGATTCCACCACAGTCAAAAGAATTTCCACCCGAAAATTTCTTGACAAGCAAAAAAAAAAAAAACAAACAAACGAACAACCCCCCCCCAAAAAAAAAAACAACAACAAAAGAACCAAAAAAACCAAACAAACAAACAAAACAAAAACAAAAAGAACGTAAAATCCCTTTCCTAAACGTTTAGGGAAAAATTATATTTAAACCCCTAGAGGGGGTTACGTTTCCTAATAGAGGTAGGGGTCCAAGATAATTTTTTAGTCACATTAGAGGTCTGGTCCCCTTGTTTCCCTTTCTAAAGTGCTTTGAAACAATTTACCAAATCTTTTAAAAAAGTAGAAATGATTATGTATTTTCATGAATATGGTTTGAATAAAAATTATGTACGTACAGTACTAGTGTATCTGTAATGGCTCTAATACATGTAAACTTCACGCAACCTTCTTTTGAGAATATTATAAGAAATATTTATGTGTAGACATTAAGTGTTTATGATACCAATTTAGACAAATCTCACACTCTTTATTGCAATCTCAATCTTTTGTTAAAAACAAAATGATAAAAAAAAAACCCAGATATGACTGTAATGCATCTCTATACAGTTTATAACAATGAACTTTCCTTTGCATAAGTTTGTATACCGGTATCCTCTTTAGTCTTTATTATTTATTTTTGATTGTCAAATAGCTCCATGATATCTTCGAAATTTATAACTTTGAATTTTTTTAATATGACACGCTGAATATCAATATCTAGAGCTGCCCTGATTCATAAAAAGCTGCCATTTTCTTATTTTCCAGACCTGCAGAATAAGTAGAAATATGAGGAAGCAAAGGGCATGGATCCATTTATTTCCCAAGTCATTAGCTTCATTGTTAACATCACATTTTTTTTCTATCTGCATTGTATGAATTAATGGTCTGGGGAGTATAGATGCCCCTGCTTTGTGGACCTTTACTGGTCTTTAATGATCTACTCCCTATCATTTCATGGGAAAACTTCTTTCTCAAACAAAATCACTCTCAGAACAAACATAGATACAACTGAAGTAACTTGTGTATAAAAATGATTATGGAATTATCTCAGGGAATCTAACCCAAATCATATTTGGAATTAATGAAAAGTCAGAATATTTAATATTCATTTTTTTTTTACTATTCTTATATTATTCTTGTTTGAGTGCAAAACGCAATTTTGTGGCAGACTCTGTGGTGTCTTTTACTTCGAGTTCACTGGGATATATCAATATAACACATGAATGAAAATAGCTCTTGTTAATTAATTGATAAAATGTTGTTGATCTATCAGAACTAGAGATATTATCAACTCAAAGAAATAATCAAACTCAAAACGGAACAAATAGTTTATTGCACACATGAATTTACCACAAAATGTAAAAAGCACTACAAAGAAAAAGAAAATAATGATGCATACTCTTGTTACACAAAGCATTCAGTAATATACGCATGATAAATATCCCCATTTTATTGTATAATTTCAAGATTTTCTAAAATGAAGGCACAAAAATAACTCTGCAAAATGTCTGTTTTCACTATATAGCCATGCCCTCTGTAAAAAAAATTGGTATCAATTTAAATTTCTTGGCTCTTCTGTTGATCAAACATATTTTCATATTTGTTAATAGTTTTCATTAATATGTCAGGGATAAATCATTTCTTCTTCTGAAATCTTGGTACAAAGATACACACTTTTAACAAATGAATATACATCATAATACATGCATACCAACCAATAACTACTTCATCCTTCCAAGCATATAACATAAACAGCATTTTTTTTTTTAAACCTGGAAAAAATACATTTGATTAAACCGGTTTTAAATAACTATTCATGTCTATGTACATGTATTTTAAAATTGTGTAGCTTAAAAAATAATTGCACACTACAAAATACCGGGTAGAGGATGCACGGCCCCAAAATGTATGTTGCATTTGGTTATTTATGTTGGTCACATGAAAACTTGGATGTCAAGAACATTAATCAAAACAGAGAGTAAATGAACTAGTATACATTTGTTTATAACATCAAAGCATTTGAGTCTTTTATTGAAAGCACAGCAAAAATTAAGTAGATTCATCTGAAATATTGTCATTTATTTTTTGAGTAAATACCAACATGGTAGTAAGGAACTATTTAGAATTAAGCCTTTTATGTCTTACAAAATCAAATATTAATCCCCTACTTCTGTGGGGAGATGAATCACAAAATCTTGAAATCAAATCAATATATTTTTTCAATTGGTACAAAAAAATTAACAGAGATTCTGGTAGATTTATTCAATATTATTAAAGCCTAAAAACCAGAATTCAAATAAGTTATATATTTAATATATGTTATGAATGTACATGTATAATGTATAAAAACCAGTTTGTATATCAAAGTTTTTCTATAGACATTTCGTTAGAACATAACTGTGTTCAAACTGTATCATATCTATACAATAAAATATGTTCAAATGTCATCAGAGAAAACTTGTCAAAGCATATAAAATGATTCTAATGCAGGTACAAAAATTAATTGGCACAAATGTGTTTTTTAATTATCACAAAGAAACTTGTGTTCACAACAAAGCTTTTCTTTAATATGGCAATGTTCATGAAATGAATTGATATGCATTAGTACTTAAATTGTGCATGCATGGTATCATTTAAATGATGTCTTATACTCAAGATAAACATGTCTGAAAGTCACCTTTTCTGCATGTATATGTATACATGTTATCTAAAATAAATGTTACATCCAAAACCAGAAGTTTATTTTCCTCTATTTTTCACTCTGTCGTACAACATACACTTTTACACTTTTTATCTCCTTTCACTTTGTTTTTGAGAGTAGATGGCATACAAAAACAGCCACACATCTACAGCTTGGTTGTTCATGATTTTGGTGAAGTTTTCTCCTTCATTGGGGATTCTTCCCACCAGGTCAGTCATCCATCCTGGGTAGGTCAGGTCAAGGTCATATTGAGGTGCTGACAAATATCCAATCATTGTGTCTCTTAGGCTGAGGATAGAAAGAGTGACAGGTAAGATAAATAACCAATCACAGTGTCTCTCAAGCTGACAAAACAAGTATAGAAGAGTAATAGCTTAAATAATTTTCAATCAATGAAACTGCAAGATTATCTGAATTTTAATCTTTAATATTCCTCTTGTCAGAACTTACAAAGGATTATAAATATTCAATCATATTAGGGTTATTTAAGAAATGAATTTCATTTTTACAGATTCATGAGGTTATGAACTATGACGCTTCACGCTGGCATATTTCATGAAGCGCGTTAGTGCTTCATGAAAAATATGCCGGCGTGAAGCGTCGTAGTTCATAACCTCATGAATCTGTAAAATTGAAATTCATTTCTTATATTTACATTCTAACTTTCTTCTTAATCGAAACCCCCCTCTTTGTTATAAATAGTCGTAAATTGATATCGTCTAGTGCTTGATCCCGTGGTGAGCCTCAAACTACGTCGTTGTAAAAAATATAGTGCGGTTTAAAATATACAATATACAACACACAACAATGATAATTAATTTCAAAATTTAATCAGTAGACTTCAAGAAACAAATACAAATAAAGAATATTCAACAAAACTTGGTTTATACACGAAAAATGTTTCCGGAAGGCGAATGTGTAAATATTACAACGTTAGTGATCAGGCCGTCAGCATGGTCAGTCATTTTGAAACGAAGTGGAATGTGCACCCGTGAAATGTTGAATGTGTCATGATTCCTTGAGTTTGTACTGTTTCGTTAACCGATGAGCTTGAGTGTTGCATATTTATCATCATTTGTTTAGCATGTTTAGAATCTTCAACTGAGGAAGGTTGCAGAATTCCATAGGAAACAACATCAGAGGAAAGAGGTGCTGACAGAACCGAGCTATCATCGAGAACTGGCTCAGCATTTGATGTCTCTTGTCTTGGTAAGTTTTCATCTGTCATTTTTGAAAGTGTAGCACTCAGTGCTTTTTTCTGCTGTGTTGAACAGTGTCTATTGTATGATCTTATGGAAGATTCATTTCTGTGCCCTGACATGAACATAATGTGCCTTGTTTCATGACCAGCGTTATTCATGTGTTGTATTGAGGTTGCCCTCAAACAATGTGGGGTATAGATTTTACTAGTTTTGGCAAATTTGCAGATTTCGGACAAAAAGTTAGTAAATGTTCTTTTTGCTAAGGGTTTGTTTAGAAACCATGTGGATGTGATAGATGGGAAATCAACTGCAACCTTGTTGTATTGGTTAAAAAGGTGAGTTGAAGTGACATCAGTTTTCTTAATCAACAGCTTTAACATTAATATTTTTATGGGGCATGTTTCTGATCCTGTCGCATACATGCGTTTGTCGCTTGGAGCTTCCTCTGTACCCAAACCACCCTGGAAGTTTTTTTGTTTTACTTCATGATTCAAAACTGCATACTCGCCAAAATTATCAGTTTTGAACGTGAATGATTTAATTTTTAATTGATGGTGAAACTCAGCTCCTCTTGTAACAAATTGTGTAGCAAGGTTGAACCAAACACATTGTCTAAGGATGATGGGGTTTGTTTCAGCATTTTTAAAATAAGTGGCAATTAATTTTAGATCATCATCACTAATGATATCTTTATGAACAGTTGGGCGAGAAAGACCCTCTTGCATACGTTGCTTCAAAAGACCATTAAGAATTCTGTTGGCAATTTTAAATTCTGTGGCATTCACAATATCTATGTTTCGTCCCAAGTCCTGGAGATGGCGGTTGAGGGCTCCACGGATGTTCTTCAGGGTGTTTTTATGATATTCCCCTGCTAGTTCTGATGGAAGGGAGTTTTGTCTAGCATTTGTTTCTTTTGTTTTTGCTTCACAATAAAACTTTGTCAGTAATGTGGCCAGTTCATCAGGATTTATGGACATGAAATCTACTGCGTGGCCCTGAGACTCCACACACCACTCTGAAAAGGACAAGCAAGGTTGAAATCTAGGTTTCTTTGCATGTCAGTCAGATTTTTTACTGATTGTTCTATTATTTAAAAACATCAGGGATAATTTTGACTGAATATTATTTTTATGCAAAGAATCATTATCAACAGAATCTGCAAGAAATTTGTAAAAGTGACAACTCATACCTTGGAAGACTTTTATTCCCCATTTTGTGTTTTTTCTGGTATTTTTTGACTGGTTACTCTCATAAAATTTTAAGAGTTCTTCATTTGTAACATTTCCAAATCTTGTTTTCTGTGGATTTATCTGTTTGTAATCTAATGTTGAATGCAGATTCCCTTCCTCATCAAGCTTCAATTTTTCATTCATTTCCTTTGTGTTTTCAATGGATGATACTCCAATGTTTGGCATATTTAAATCATTTAAAGGAAGATCAAGGTCATCATCAAACAGAAAATCCATATTTTGAAGATCAGGATAAAGTTCATCAATTGTTGGCATTTCAAAATTGCCTAATTTAGTATCTGATTCATCAGCAGAAGCCATTTCTTTGATGTTGGGATCAAAGCAGACGTAACATGTATCATGTGTATTTATTTATTTTTTTATATATATATTTATTGTAGGAAAATTAAAAACTATTTCATGAAATTATTTTGTATAGTCAAGCAGGGTTGTTTTCTCTTTTTTTAATTTATCTATTTATTTGTTGTGAAACACAACTTTGTTGTTATTTTTTTCTGCATTGGAATTTCCCTTAAAAGTAGTTCTGTATTCATGCGCTGCTAATTAGCATGCAAGAAATATTCAAGCGCTTTGTGCAAGTTCATGAGAAAATGAACAAAATTTTAATTTGTAAGGAATGTTAAAGACAAATAAATGGAAATGTAAATATTATAAAATAAGTCTTATGAACTCCACAAAAACATTAATTTCCCATTTTTATGGAGAAAATTGACTGTGTCAGAGTAATTGCCATATTTTTGAATTACCCTGACTGTTCAGTAAGAACAAAATTTTAGTATTTTATCTAAATGTGCAAGTTTTCTCCTACTGTCAACATTTTAATCAATTACCTCAGTTTGGACATGTCTAAATCATCATCATCTGTTCCTTTGGGAACTGTGATGGTCAACATGATACACTCAAACAGGGTCTCCAGCAGGAGTTCTAGCCTCTCTATGGAGAGTTCCTCACAGAACATGGTGATGATGTCCCGCTGGTCAGGGTGGAGGTCCACCCTCAACTCACTGGCCACACCCTCAAAGGCATCCTGAGAAGAGGCAAAATAATTAATATGTCAAAGAGGCAAAATAATTAATATTTCAGAGGCAAAATAATTAATATTTCAAAGAAGCAAAATAATTAATATTTCAAGAGGCAAATAATTAATCCATAATTTAACCAACAAGGAGATTTTCTTAGCAAAAGACATTGAATATTTTCCTTATCAATTTAAAACCTTTTCTGTATGACCCTTATATAATACTGTTATCTCAAAAATTGTTTTCATCTAAATTACCTCTTTGTGTGATGCTTGTCTCTTGGTTTTCTCCATTGCTAATGTAATCCAGAGTGACTGAGCATGTTTACACACACAGGAAGATCTTGCCTAGAAAACAAACATAATTAAACTAAACATTCTGTTATAGTGAACTAAAACATACACCTGCCCCTCTAATTACTTCACATGTCTAGGTCATATACAAGAAATCATGACACACTTCCTTTTAAGGTGACACAAATATATGTCAAAAATCATAAACATTACATACCGTATAACGGGTATTTTCTGCGGTTGGAAATTTTTGCGATTTAACCCTAAAAGATAGCAAATTAATTTCTGTGTTTCCAATTTCTGCGGTTGCATTATACCGCAAAAAATTATTTACTGGGTATGATCACCAAACTCTAGGAATTATCAGATAGCTGTCATGTTTACGTTTTATTAATTCATTGAGACATATTGATCAAAGGTGCATGGGAACTGATATTGAGCTATTAAGCTTAATTAAACTACTATCTTTTGGTTTGTCTTTGTAAAATTATGTCGAGTCCCAACTGAAATGAATTATTGCCGTATCAGTCCACCCAAACAAAAATAAAAAAATCTTTATTCTACATTGTAACAAACGTTTTATGCGATCTATTAAAATATTTAAATATATAGATAATTAATGCATCCAAGCCATATTCTAAAAATTCACTTTAGTTAATTGCCATCAAAATTAACCTGGTGTTTATATTTTAAGCTCAAACAAACAGTTACATAATCAAGTAACCTGAAGTTGACCGTATACAATCACAGGTGCCATGTGCATTGAGGCGTAACTAATCCTGTCAGTCGTCTGAATTGTGTGAAATGCACGAGACAATCAAGCCACATTGTGTATACAAGCAGTAATTATGGTCTCAAGATAAAACACAAGATTGAAAAAAGTGTTAAAGAAAGAAAGAAAAGCTACTATGTGTTGTTTGCAGCTATCGGAGTTTGGACTAATAATTGCGAAATCTCTTTTAATCATTTACATGTACATGTATATCCGTATAAAATAAATAGGTACAAGAAAAGATGTTTTTGTATAAACTTATTAAATTGATATTATTTACATGAACGTTTTGATTCAATATGTTTTGGACAAATCCTGACATCTAAAATCTAACGAGGACGTGTCCACTCATGAGTCTGCGGACGCATCGTTTTTAAGAACTTGCGTCCCAAATAATTTTGCTGCGTCCAGTACACAGGTTCTTGCGTTAATGAGAATCCTGTGACATATGCACCACTTATCATACTTGCATGTATAAAATATATATTTGAAGAAATATTGAAAAAAAAATTTTGCGACTGTAATTTTTGCGGATTTGTTCTATCCGCAAAATTCCGCAAAAATTGGACAACCGCAGAAAATACCCGTTATACGGTAGTTACATCTTAATTGAGACCAACCTTTTGACTGGGGAAAGGATTTTCCATTTTAAGAGTCTGGGTCATAAATTTCTCCAAGGACATGTTAGCATCACCCCCTACAGATTTCAGGAAGCTGATGGTAATGTCAAGCTTATCAAGAGTTTGACAGAGGTCTGGGTAAGCTCTAATCTCTTCACTAATCTGATTGGCTACTGCTGGGGTCAAAGGTTCCTGTGAATAAAATCAAAATAGTTAAGGAAAGGGAACAAATCACATGAATTTGAATAATTTTCTTTAGCATTAAATTTTATTTCTATTATCTAAACAGACACAGCTAAACAGTTATAATTTTCAGAGATGACAAAGTTGGAAAAAATAGGCTATTGGTGTTTTAGAAGATAATTATTCCTTAAATTGCTGAATTTTTGATAAACCTGTTTGATTTTCTGCCTGAGATGTCTAAACACCACTGCATTTGTTGTCTCTGATCTGTATGTCATCATCTCAAACTGCAAGACAATTTAATGTGGGTCAAATATGTTGCACATTAAAATTTTTGAGCTATAGTAACATTATTTGAACATTTTAGTACCAAAACTAATCTTTAACTAGAAGTGAAAAATTGTCAGATGTGTTTGTGGGACATAATTCCTGAAGCAAAGAGCTCCCTTTTCTTAATCTTGAAGGTTGACCTTGACTTGGCATGAAGGTCAGAGCTTAGGCAAATATTGTACGAATTATCTCATATATTTCAAGTTTCATCTAAAGTTACATAAACAGGCAAATAGAGGATGAATCAAGAACAATGTACACTTCCCAATGGTTTAACCTGAAAGGGAACGGAATAAAAATCCCTAAAAATCCAAAACTTTTCTTATCAATGAACACTGTTGAGATAAACCAGGTCATTTCAAAGCCATTACTTTATCAAATATTTTGTTTTTTTTTCTGCAAAGTTTTAAGGTACATTACTTCAACCTTTATTTGAATGCACATGATATATCTGCATAATTTTCATCTGTTTCTCAACTTTGCAACATGCTCAGCTATGTACCTCATAAACAGGCATGTCAATGACAGACTTGGAGAAAAGGAATCGGTCCATGAGCTGGCGCTCCAAGTCACCAAAGTTGTAATCTATCTTGGTTCCTTTACCGACCTCAAAGGTGTAATGACAGTTGGCCATGACCATGGGGAGGATATCTCTGTCTGGGTGATAGCTGATGAGGTGGGCTGAGGTCACATCATTCACCTGAACCTTGGGCAGTTGAGTGTACCTGTGAAAATAGATTTTACTAATTATATTTCTTGAAGCATCCTTAAATCTCTTATAGACATCAAAATATGAGGTATGAAGTTAAAAGCACCAACTGCATGAACCATGTCAAAAATAATGAAATCAACTGAGCATCATTACATATACAGTGTATTTACAGTAAAACACGCTTATAGCAAAGTTCTACGGGCTTCTTTTTTGTTAAGTTCATAATATTTTAAAGCAAAAGGGAATGAAAATCACTTTGCTGTAAGCATAAATTCATAATAAGCATGTTTGTTGTAACTGTGTTTTACTGTAATTTCAAATTATTTTCTATGAATCTCAAAATCTCTCTTCCAAATGTTACAGCCAATACCCATAATTTTGAATTCATGATACATCTGCACAAATACAATAAGTATATAATATATTATATGATAATATAATGTCATACAGATGTTTTTCAAACTACAAACCCTGAGTAGTTTTTTTTTTTCAGGTACATGCCCTTGACTTGAAGCTTTGACTTTTAAAGAGGAAATTTTAATTAATTTCCAGAACTTAAAATAATCCCATTCACTGCATCTGTAGAGAATCATAAAAATCTAAATGCTATAGGCTTACTGCATTCTTTTTTTCTTGCAGTACTCCTGAAGGAAGTTATTTTGTTTCTTCAGTAAGAAGTACAGGAGGCCATAGGAGCAGAGTCCGGCATCCCTGAAGGTCGGTAACAATACAGATACGGGGTGACTCTCAGTAATCGGCTTCTGACAGTACTCCTTAGGGACCTTACCTAGTCCTTCCAGGGTGGGAAAAGCTGCAACAATTCATACATTATGGTATTAATCAAGTTTCAAGTTTTTACAATAATTATCAGAACAAATGGACCTTTTAATTTGCAACTTTTTATTTCAGAAACAGACAATCATTCATTAAACGTTAAATTTTGCTATAAGGAAATTGAAATGTCAAATGATTGAGTTTATTTAGCAAGAAAAATTAAAGAATTACACCATGTGCACTGTCTTAAGATTTTACTTTAAATTATTAGCCTTAAATAAAAGTAGTTCTAAAATAAAGCTATATAAAACTTACTGAACGTTATAAGTTGTTCTCGCACACACTGCCACGCCTCAATGAAGTCCCTTACCAAATTCTTTATCTCTTCTGCTCTTCCCTCTAAAGTTGATTGTCAACAACAAAATACAACTGAACATAAGTCTAACAATTTTACTTAAAGTTATATGTACATCAATAAGATATTGTAAATGTACTTTTTTCCCATAATTCCAAAGAATCACAATTTCTGTTCAATCTGTGGGTAGAAAATTAATAAGTTTTCTTAGATTGCCTCAAGATACCTTAAATGTACTTTACGTACACAAAAAAAACATAACTGCAAACATAACATAAATAAATATCATGTGGAAAAAAGTACTTCTACCGTATTTATTTAATACAGTCAAACCTCGTTATCTCGAACCTGATGGGACCAAGAAAATACTTCAAGATATCCAAGGGTTCGAGATATCCAGGGTAAAATACTTAATAAGCAATTGGAACTTCCAAATCACTTGGACATATCCATGGTATTCGAGATATCAGTGTTTGAAATACCGAAGTTCAACTGTATACTAAATTATTTTTAATGCATCAGTTAATTTAACTTCAAACTATCGCAGTCTTCACAGAGGATGTACGAATTGCATATTTAATAAGAGACTACCTCTTAACAAATGGACAAACAACGTCTTAATGGTCAAATCCATTCTTGGTATAATAAAAGGTTTACCGTTTTCATAAGACTGTATCATGTCCTCAATTGTTATTGTTGTGGCCTCTGCTCTGTCCAGCTTCCTCTGGTATCTCTGTATCAGCATCCTCTGCAACTTTAGGATGTTTGGTACCAGGCGAATAGCTCTCAGGTGGTGTTCCTAAAATGAAAGGTCTCCAACTAGTATTGGGACTGATACCGAAATACTTCACTTAATCCACTCACTTAAAACTAAACCACAAAATGTAGGTCAGATGTAGCATTTGATGCATGCATCGAACCAAGCATCAATATATGAACTGTATATACTGAAGGTTGGTTTGAATAATCCTACATAAGCCTAGAATAGACTTTACCGTTTCCCCTATAAGTCCTGCATTTACTCAAAGAATGAGAGTAAGCATGAACATACAGGTACATCAGTGTTTACCTCTTGTAAAAACATGTGGAGGACTTGATGAGCCCTGCTCTGTACTTGTAAGGTGTGTAGTAGGTGGTCCATGGTTATCTGTGATCGGTAGCGCCACACAGCTTGAACATTGTGAAGAGTGCTCGGTGAGGAATGTTCAGAGGGAATGTCCATCTCAAATAACAAACACAGCAAAGGGTCTGAACCTGTGAAACAAGAAAGACCTTCAATGTTCTTATACTGTCTGTTGAGACTAAACCATTTGTTACAGTTGTAGATCGAAACTTGTCTAGAATGTAGGTTGCTGATGCAACATTTTAGAAAACATCCGGACATGAATTTACAGAAAATTAGGCTGGCTAAGAGTGACTCACCAAGTCTCTGGTCATTAGCAAGCTGTTTATTCACAGATTTCAGATAGCCATCCATTTCCTCAAAAAGAAAAGAATATTTATTTCCAACATAAATGTAGACCAAATAACAGTAAAATTCACAATACTGAATTCACAGCTATGACTTCCTTTGTGATATGAATAGTAAAGACTATAAATCCTTAATAAAATACCTGAAGAACTGGAGATAGATAAGTCTTGGTGAAATCATCTTCCCATTTTTTCCTGCTGTTTTTATTTGCCAAGATGCATATTTCTTGGTTTAAATGAGTGTCTGAAAGTAAGATTTTTTTTTTACTATAAGTACTGCTGTTTATTTTGATAATTACAAATACAGTCATTTTGATCTTTTAAGAAATAAACCATGGATGTTGCATGCATCAGCTAGAGAAGAGTTTGGCTGGAGGAATTGTTGGTGATCGAGGACACTAATGCAACTATTAAGAAGATGGAGACTCAAATTGTCTTAAAGTTCTCATTTCACATATTTTCCCATGTAAAAATTCCATCATAATCAAGAAAGAAGACAACTTGAGAAGGGTTAAATTGATAAAGAACTTTAATGTAACCCCCTTCCCACCCACCACCCTATCAAGAACTTCCGTATGAAACTCACTTCTGTGTTTCTCCATGATGTCATTACAAATTCTATGTATCAGGATATAGACATCGTCCACGCTTTTTCCTATGGCTTTCTGGATAGTGACGAGATCTCTCTCTATGTGTGCCCACAAGAATGGCAGGACTACTGCTGGATCCAAGTCTGGTTTTATTATGCTGTGTATAGCCTATGTAAATGGACATGAACAAATTAAATATACTCTAACAAAGGACCTTCCTTGTTAAAACTAGAAATCTGACCTGTCAGCAAGGGCCCCGCCGAGGGGTAGAAATATAAGGGTGTAGATTAGGGGATATGAGAATTTTACTTGATTTACAAAAATTTAAAAATATATAAAGAATAAGCATATTTAAAGAAGAATGAAGCATACATGTGTTTTCTAAAATGCCAGCCTTCAGTGAATGCAAATATCACCCAGGCTTGACCTTAACTTCAAAACAAATATCAGTTGCAGACAAAGGTGTTAATTAATCTTAAAAGTGACAGAAAGATAAACCCTCTAAAATTTTCTGCAAACCAGCAAGATAATCAATCCCAGGGGATTAATTATACTGATCTCTCAAACTTTTCTTCTAAGTTTACAATAAGATCTTTTTCAGCAATGATAGAATGAGGTTATTATCTGAATACCTGTTAAAATAAATAGTATTCTTGAATTTACATAAGGCAGAAAAAAAGAAACAAAAAAATAAAAAAAAAAAATAAAATCATAATAAAAAAGATATCTTTATTTACATGTATATCTTGTTTTTAGAATTCCATAAAATCATAACTCATTGTGTATTTTACCAAAATAAAGACTATGAACATTATTTAAATCCACATTTCAGAGAATGTAAACATCATTCAAAATTGACCTTAACTTCAAAACAAACTTCATTTGCAGACAGAGGTGTTAATTAATCTCAATGTGGCAGATAAAGATAAATGCTTTGGATTTTCTTCAAGAGGAAAGTTAATTAATCCCAAGAGACTCATTGCAGCCTTTCATAGCTTACAATAGGAACATTCTCAGCAGTTATCTCTCTTTGTCCATTCACTCTTATGCAAAGTTAAGGAATCTACCCCACCACCTCAGCTCCATACCGGATGACACAGAGAACCAAACTTAGCATCAAAATATGTCTTACTGCCTATTCAACCAACATACCAAATTTGAACTTAATTGGTCAACCCTAAAAAAAGTTATTAGAAAAAAACAGAAAATTTGTGGACGGAAGAATGACAGACGGACAGACAGACAGACAGAGTGATTACTATAGGGCACCCGCAAATCCTTGCGGGGCCCTAATTAAAATATTTAAAGATTTGCTCTTTAATGAAATTTACAATTTTATTCTGTAGGGAAAGCAATAATCCAAGAGAATGTCACTTAATACAAATTTTGCATAATTTTATCCCAACAGTCAGTGATAGCCCTTCCTAATGACAGATGTTATTTAACAACATGGTTGGAATAAAAACTTACAAAAATAACTTACTTGTAAGTTGACATTGGCTCCTAGGTACATGGCCATGTGAGTAAAGAGCCTGACTATGGCACACTCAATGGGAGACAGACTTCTCTCAGGACTGGCCACGGGTTGTCTCCCCTCTGCTCGACCCAAAATATGACCAGTGGCAGTCTGATCTAACCTGTCAAGATGGAATAAAGATATAGATTATATGTACTCAGAAAACCACTAAGGCTCTGCTCAGTCAACATTTCTACTTTTTATCTTCATTTTCATTAATACTTCCAAATTCCATCATTTCCTGAAAAGGCTGTGACATCCATTAATCACAATGATTTTTGAAAGTATATGATATAAATTTCTGCTTTCAGATTCAGATATGTTTGTGAACAATGTGCAGAAAATAAATAAAATATAAACAAACCCTTGGTCTAGAACATTGCCAGCTCGTAGCTGATAAGACTGACCCCCGATTTCTTGACCACATTCTTTACATCTGCCCACAGTGGCGGGTCTGCCACACTGAAATATAAAAGGGGCTTAGACTTACCCATCATGCAACTGATTGGTGGCTAAAAGTTTGTGACCTTCACCTCCTATCTCCATTCCGCAATCTTTACAACGACCTTTATAATACGGACGACCACACTACAATTTACAACAGTTTGGTGAAAATTTCAGTTTTCCATACTTTATTGCAGTGTTCTCTGGAATGTGTGCAGGCTCTCACTTATCGTAAGAAAATAAGTTAATTCTCTCCATAATATTTAAATTTTTTTTTTTTTTTATAATTATTTATAAGAAATTATAGAAATTTAGCAAGTAAAATCATATATTACTTAAAGTTTGCTTTCAGACAAGAACTGATTTCATCTTTGGGTAAAAATGCTTCTAAATTTATTGGGTAAAAATGCTTCTAAATTTAGTACACACGCACATTAAAGCAAGAAAATATCAATGCTTTTGGAGGACATATATTCAAATACACTTGCAATCCTGCCATATAAACTATATATGGGTATTAAATAAAAATAGCAACAATCTGTTAGTAGAATCTACGTGATAAGTAAGACACTTTGCTCCAACATACAGGATGCAAGCATACAGTGACTGAATCAATAATTTAATGGAATATAACTACCTCATAATATATGCACTATAATCATTGAAGTGTGGTCATCCAACAAAAAGACTAAAATCTTTGGCCTTAAAATTAAATAAATTCAAAAATTTTTTGGAATATAACAGTACATGTCATTTTGACATTATTGTTAAATATGTAGTAAATATTATCCATAAAGTAATTTTTTTGCATTCAAAATTTAAACTTCAAGAATAAAAAAATATTTTTGTAAAGGAAAAAACAACTGTAAACATGCATTCATATTGGGATAGTTTAAAAAAAAAAGAAGTAACAACAAAACAAGCTTATTCAGAGAATTTGTGTCTCCCACACAAGGAAAAAAGGGTGTGGAAAAACTGGGAAATAATGCAGATTGTGAAAGAAAAAAAAGTCAACCTTGACCTTTAAGCTTTTGGCCTTAAATTTTAAAGTTCAAGAAATTTATGACCTAAAGTTTCTTAAAGTTCGCAAAAACTTTCAGAAAAACTAAATGACATCTGAAAACTGTGTATGCGATATATATTTGTGACCTTGACCTTTGACCTCAAAGTCAATATGAGGCCATAGGGAGTCATAAAATTTCATTGCAAAACTCAAAGGCTTTTTAAGATATAGTCTGGAAGCAAAAGTGTTACACAGAAAGAATAAATGAATTTCTTAACTTGACCTTCAACCTTTTAGGCGCCATCCTTTTGCCAGAAGGAGTTGTGATAGTTAATTTTACTGAAGAAAGCTCAAAGAAAACTTAAGTTATCATCTGGAAAATGTGTATAAATTTCTGACCTTGACCTCTTAGGCCATTATGAGTTTCAATATCAAATTTCATTGCAAAGCTTTTTAAGACATTGGCCAGAAAGGAAAGTGTTACACACATAAAGAATGTATAAATCTATGTCCTTGACCTTTGATCTTTGGACCTCAAAATCAATAGAGGCCTTCTTTAGGCCAAAGGGAGTTTTGATATTAAATTTTATTGAGAAAGCTCAAAGAAAACTTGAGTTATCATCAGGAATCATCATTTGCAATGTATGAATTTCTGATCTTTATCTTTGACCTCAAAATCAATAAGGGTCTTTGTTAGAGTATTAGGTATTGTAATATAAAAATTCATTGCAAAAGCTCAAATGCTGTTTAAGATATTGCCCAGAAACAAAAGTGTGACACACATACTGAATGTATGAATTTATGACCTTGACCTTAGACTTTTTGACTCAAAATCAATAGGGGTCTTCTTTACGTCAAAGGGAGTTGTGGTATAAAATTTCATTGCAAAACATCAAAGGCTTCTTGAGATATTGTCTGGAAACCAATTGTCTGGAAACCAAAGTGTTACTCACAGACAGACAGACAGCTAGATGGAGAGACCCAAATTAATAACCCCCTCTTTCAGTGATGGGGGGGGGGGGGGACAAAAACGTGCTTACTGAGAGAGAGAGACAGAGAGACAGAGAAAACCCATCAATGTGCAATTGCTAAGCAGCAAAGGATTTCAATTCAATGTGCAAAACAAGATATAAAATACTCACATTTAAGATAAAAAAAAATACTCACATTTCCAATTACATATGGATGACCATTGGGGCAACCTAAAAAAAAGGTTAGATAAAATCTTAAGATGTCATCTTTTGAAAAGTTGGCCACAAGTAGCTGCCTCAATCTTCTTGCTTTTTGTGGAAGTTACATATCACTTCAAACAAAGCATGTGCATTAAACAAAACATTCATAAATTCAGTACATATCAAATATTTTTTTTCCCTCAACACTTACGATAAAAAACAGGATTTTCATCGCCTCCTTGTCTGGCAGCCAGCAGTGCCTCCTTGATTTCTGCCACATCATCCTGTGGCATGGTGGGCAGAAAAGCTCTCTGGTAAAAATCATCCACACATTATATTTTCAGAATTTGATCATGCTTTTTCCATTCTAACATTCTAACAAGAGGCCCAAGGGCCACATTGCTCACCTGAGCACTGTGGCTAGAAAAAAAGGAAAAATCAGTTTAGTATTGAAAAGCTTAAATGCATAAGTGGTCCCAACCTACCCCTAAAAAGGGAATTGGGGGGGGGGGTCATGATTTGAACAAACTTGAATCTACACTATCTGAGGATGCTTCCATATAAATATAGATGCTTCCAAATAAATATGACCAATCATAGCTTTGCTGTTCTTGAGAAGATGATTTTTGAAGACTTTTCCTATGTACACCTATGTTAAACATTGATCGTCCATTTTGGCCCCACCCTATCCCTGGGGGTCATGATTTGAACAAACTTGAATCTACACCACCTGAGGATGCTTCCACATAAATATGACCAATCATAGCTTTGCTGTTCTTGAGAAGAAGATTTTTCCTATATATCCCTATGTAAAACTTTGATTGTCCATTGTGGCCCCACCCTACCCCCGGGGGTCATGATTTGTACAAACTTGAATCTACACCACCTGAGGATGCTTCCATATAAATATGACCAATCATAGCTTTGCTGTTCTTGAGAAGAAGATTTTTCCTATATATCCCTATGTAAAACTTTGATTGTCCATTGTGGCCCCACCCTACCCCCGGGGGTCATGATTTGTACAAACTTGAATCTACACCACCTGAGGATGCTTCCAAATAAATATGACCAATCATAGCTTTGCTGTTCTTGAGAAGAAGATTTTTGAAGATTTTTCCTATGTACACCTATGTTAAACATTGATCGTCCATTTTGGCCCTACCCTACCCCTGGGGGTCATGATTTGAACAAATTGAATCTACACCACCTGAGGATGCTTCCATATAAATATGACCAATCATAGCTTTGCTGTTCTTGAGAAGAAGATTTTTGAAGATTTTTCCTGTATATTCCTATGTAAAAATTTGATCGTCCAATGTGGTCCCACCCTACCCCCAGGGGTCATGATTTGTATAAACTTGAATCTACACCACCTGAGGATGCTTCCATATAAATATGACCAATCATAGCTTTGCTGTTCTTGAGAAGATGATTTTTGAAGATTTTTCCTATGTACACCTATGCTAAACACTGATCGTCCATTTTGGCCCCACCCTATCCCTGGGGGTCATGATTTGAACAAACTTGAATCTACACCACCTGAGGATGCTTTCACATTAATATGACCAATCATAGCTTTGCTGTTCTTGAGAAGATGATTTTTAAAGACTTTTCCTATATATTCCTATGTAAAACTTTGATCGTCCATTGTGGCCCCACCCTACCCCTGGTGGTCATGATTTGAACAAACTTGAATCTACACTACCTAACAATAATTCCACATGAGTTTCATCTTTCCTGGCCCACTGGTTCTTGAGAAGAAGATTTTTCAATAATGCCATTAATTTTTTGCTATTTCGTAATTATCTCCCCTTGGAGGAGGGTGTGGCCCTTCATTTGAACAAACTTGAAACCCCTTCACCCAAGGATACTTTGTGCCAAGTTTGATTGAAATTGGCCCAGTAGTTTTGGAGAAGAAGATGAAAATGTGAAAAGTTTACGACAACAACGACGCCGACGCCGACAGACAACGGACAAATTTTGATCAGAAAAGCTCACTTGAGCCTTCGGCTCAGGTGAGCTAAAAAGTTCTATTTTGTAATTTGCAGCATCATTTTTTAGTATTACATCTGATATATGTAACTGATTTTCTTTCTGGTGTTGATGCAACATTCATTATACATTTTAGAGAGCAGCAAAATTATAATTGCAATATACATTATTACAGCTATACAGTTACTTTATTTGCAAAGAAACTAACTTAAAGTTTCCCATCTGAAGTAATTCATTTTTAATTCAGTTTATCTATAATTAATATTCCCCATTAAAGTACAATTTGCATCCAAAAAATTTTTTTGACAAAAAACTCTATTACAACAGGAAACTAGTCCTGACACTATCCACCTGCATGTCCTGTGGTTGTTGAACCAGTTTGTTGAGGGGTTCTATGAGTGTCCTCTCCTCAGGGATTTGTAACAGTGTGATAAAGAAGTGGTTCAACAGACACACCGTACTCTGATGTCCGAGTTCCATTCCCTCCTGAACAGTCAGATGAGGGTTTCTCCTCCACAGAGCATTTCTACAGAGTGCTTCAGGAAGATTAACCTGGTAAACAACAAATAAAAAATCCATTAAATGAACAGATTTTGTCATCAGACAAATCATTCATGATGAAAGAATTAATATCACTTGACATTCACTTATCAAAGTGGAGGGATAAAAATACTGTATGTAAGCTGTGACCTTACGCATTGCTTACAGCAGGCAATAATAAAATTTAATATATTGCTCAATTATTTCCTTACCTGATTTGCAAACAGAGGATGTTGTGCCATAAACTGGTGTAATAGCTCAATAGCCTGTGAAGAAGAAAATGTAAAATTAAAATCATACATACTTGTGACTTCAGTTAATATCTTCTTATAGCATGAAATAACTTAGAGAATTTTGGTAACAATTGAATTTTATTCTCTGAATAAAGATAATTTCAAGATATTTAGAAATAGCAGCTTTGATAACCATTGAAATACAATGGCAGCAAATGTGGCTGAACAAGAACTTACAGCTGCAGTAACTCTTCTCTTGTTTTCTGGGTACAAATAAGACATGGTTATTTCCCTAAGAATAGCCAGGACAGTCAGTGTTCTTTTCTGGAAATCAGGTACCCTGACACTCTGAAAAGCAACATAAATTAAGACTACTTACATGTAGGTATACACTCCATTGAAAGTATGACATATTTTGCCTACGTTTAAAGCTTACTGACATAATTCATGAAACAAACATGTGCACCAACAAATGCTGTTTCCTGTTAAACTGATAATCGATCATCAGATTAACAGGATTATTTGATTAAATATTTATCATATTATATGAATTTATTCGTACTGCACACCATATTACACTGTATGTAAAGCAAACTTCTAAATCTATTTAACACTAAGTTTTGATGATTATCATGTTTTACATCTTCCTATACATTTTCAATGAGTACATTGAATCTACCTCTATAGCAGTGTTGAATAACTCCATGTTCTGTCCTAGTGCTGCCTGGGTCAATTTCTCTCTCAGTGCTTTGTACTGGTCTCCACACACAATAAACCTGTCACTGCACTCAACAATCTGTGTCAAATATCAAGGATTCTTCTTATTCCATTGAAAACAATAGGTTCGGGCAATTTTCTATTTTCATTCATATGCATAAAAGTCAAGTAAAATATACAATATGTTCAGCAATTTGCATTTGTGCAACTCAAATATTTTTTTAATTGTACAACTTGATCTTTTACAACCCCTGTTTTTCACATAAACTGTAGAAACAATCTGTTATATAATTGAGATGGTTAGATGAATTACTGTGCTCATGCTGTTTATAATGAGATACCTCGTTTTTCTGGAGTTCTGGAACACTTAACCATCGAACTGTGGCAGCATCACTTGTCTTGCAGACTTTTTGATAGGTCTCCAACCCAAAGCATCGACAGAGATGTTTGATCAGGAACAACCTAAAAGAGCAGAAAATTTGAAAATAGTTTTTTCTTAAAAACATTTGCCTTAAAAAATGGAGAAATGTTACTTTAAAAAATTGTTTGCCCTCTACCAACCCACTGGCCATAAATGACCGATTCAAAACTATTTTTAACCTCTAGGATTAGATAATTTTTTTTCCTTTTTATCCTGTGTTTTCTCATCCCATCAACAAGTACATGTATGTTGAAATTTTTTTTTGGGGGGGGGGGGGGGGATTGGGGGATTTTTCCCAACTACCTACTAACCCAAACTTTTTTACCCTGACTCAGGAGAGGGCTAACAAACATTATCTTAAAGATGGCCGTAATATGATAAAATTTAAATACAATCTTACTTTGGCTGCTTTGACCCGCATTCATCACACAGCCTACCAGCAGCTTCTAAAAGTCTTCTGATACTCTGTCCCCCCTTTATTGACCTCTCCACTAACAACTTGTGGAGGATCTCTGCCACAACAATCAGGCCAAACCTGGTCTCAGCCATACAATACAACTTCTCCACATCCAAACCCTCCTTCATCACCAGGTGGACATTGTGCTGAAGCATCTGGGTAGCCATCTTGATTTTAGATTTTTCAGGGTCTGCATTTTTGGTAACCTCTTGATGCAGGGAGTCCTTTTGTAAAAAGTTTATAAAATATTAGTATTGATACTCAGGCCACCTGTTTGGCTAATAAATGACAGAATAGAAAGAGAGAGAGATTCTAAATCATATTTACCTCTAGACAATTAATGACCAACAGAGAGAGTTCTATCATTTTGTCTTCATTTTCTTTGAGGGACATCAGCTCCTCCACTTGATCCAGATAAATCTGTAGACACTCGCTTACTTCTCCAGAGCTGAATAGCAAGATCAAAGCAAATGTTTTCATTATCATATTAAACATTCTTTATCTTTCAAATCTTCAAAAATGCAGCAGAAAATTATTTTCAATTTTTTTTTTTTTTTGCAAAGGCTGGATAATATAGGGGCATGTAATTGGTAAGGAAAAATTGATACATTCAGACCCTGTCCTTAGATTAAAAGTTTAGTGAACAAAAACCCACCTGGTCCTTATAAGATGTTGTAGGAGGAAGGATCGTAGGACTGGTGTAGGATCAATGCCTTCCTCAAACACTGACAACTCTTTACTGGCCATTCTTCCTCCCTGTCCTCGTCTAGCTGTGGTCGTGATGTAAGACATCAGCTTCTGAACCACGTGACTGGACGGTGGCTCATCATCAGTGAAACACAGCTGGGACACCAGATCCATGAAGAAACTGTTACAGTGTCTTTGGAAAACCCTTAATTGGTGGAGCTTAAGGCTGAAATAAAATTGACTAGAAATTTTAAACAAAAATCTCTTTTTTATACTTGTGTCACTGAAATTGTATGTTCATAAAATCACAATTTAAAAGCTCATTTGGAGATTTCAATATAGTAAACAAATTTGAGACAAGAGAGTTTAAGTTAACTTTTCAGATTCCTGCTTTTTATTATACTCATTTTTAAAAATAATAGCAATACTTCCACTGATCATGACAGAGAAGATTATATTATAACCAAACATATAATTGCACTTACTTTTTGGTGTTGTCTTGATGGGGATTAAAGTGATCAGGAATTTCATCATGACAGACAGGACATTCCCCGGCCCCTAAGATCTTCATATCGTTGTAACACTTGATACAGATGACATCCTTACAGGGGAGTTGTATAGGTCTCTCTGTGATCTCACTCTCACAGGCTTTACAACTATCCAGCCTCCTACAATGTATCCCACTAAAGATTTAGTATGCACTAAAGGGAACTCAAAGACTCACTCAGAAAACATGAGGTTTCTGGCTTCTTAGTAATACAATCCTCTGTTCTGCAGCCAAACTGATCCTGAGACAATTACAACTTACAGTATTGAAAGGGATATACAAGAATGTCCCAAAGCTAAACCTGCATGAGCCAGACCTTCCAGAGACAACTTAACAGTATAATCTCCTTTTTAATGGAATTACTTTTCATTATTTCAGTAAACGATGTTAATAATTTAAATAGGTTTAAACAGAGCAATAAGACCTTAAAACTCAAATGAGTGACAGTGTGTAATAATTCTTGTTTACCCAAATGCTGTGGTGACTGCCTTTTTCATGCACATTTTTAGGAATTTCTCCACCTTCTCCAAAGCTTCAATGTTCTTGAAGTCTACATTATCTTTGAGCATCTGTTAATGAAACAAAAATGATAATTATGATTTTTTTTTTTACCAGTTGACTTTACGTGTAAGTATTTTAACTGTTAATTGCAAAACAAAAATGACAATTACTTTACATCTTGAAATCATAATATTTCTCAAATTTCTATGACAATTATAGGTCAGTCTATCTTTTCCACACATACTATTTCAACCACATGATATTGGAAAGCTCAGTGAGATTTTGTTAAAATTGTAACTTTAAGTCATGTTCTATCATTCAAGTTAGAATACCTACCACCCATAGCGTCTTGCATCTCTCCACTGGTATAGTGGTGTCCTCAGCACAGACATGCTGAAGAAAAAGCTTCATGACTATAACCTTGGTCCATTGGTGTCTGAAACAAAAAGTAGAAATAATTGAATCAGATGCAAACAGCTCATGCAAAAGACAACAGGAACTTCCTGAGGTGCAATACATGTACATTATTTAACCTATTGGACAAATCAGAATTAATTTCAAAAGATTCCACCTCCATCTAAATCCATTTGAAGAAAGTAAATCTATAACCATGTTACCAGCAAAACATAACATATTCATGCTTATAATGAAGTCATGTATTCTTATAACTAGTAATATGACGAAAATTTAATAATAACAGATAAAATTTCATCTGTCTTTGGTAATTTGCTTTAACTCTATATTTCTGTCATTTATGTATTCAGTAAATATTGAAATTTTAAAGAGAAAGTGTTTAAGTACTTGTTCACTGCAGTCCATCGAGCTCAATGTACTTACAATTTAGTTCCTACTTTACATACAAATTCTTATACATGTGAATTATTTCTGTATGCAGTTTACCCGGCCTCCTTAATTCCCTCCCTACACCGTCTCCCAAACTCCTCCACTCCTGATGGATCCACTTCCTGTACAAACTGTCCCAGAATCCTCTCCACCACTGGTCGGTACTTGAGCACCTGTTTCTGCCAGTATTGTCTGCCCCTGTAGTCATTTAGTGAGTCCTTCCCAGGCTCCAATGATTGCAACAACAGGTAGAGGCCAAGTATATCCAGGGTCTGAAAAGTGAAGCAAATTTATCATTTTGAGATTTAACTTAAAATTAATTGATACAACCATGCAAACCATGATAGACATGATATGGTAAACAAAACATTCATATTTATTCGTAAAAATTGTTTACACAATCATATAAACATTTGAGACTTTGAACCTAGCTGCTTAAAAGATGTTGAGTCAATTTATATTCTTCCACCACTTAAAGTTATGGTGATAATCGACCTAAACAAAAATTGCAATATTTCCAATAAGCTAAGACTGATGATTGGAAATTTCATAACAAAAGCATTTTCATCATTACCAGTTCTTCATCAGTGACTAAGTAGAATTGAGCACTTTTCTGCTGGAACTCAATGATTTTGGCACTACACTCAGGCCACACTCGTGTAATGCTGGCAAAATTCCTCAGACGAGGTACAGATTTATTGTGTACAGCATGTATTGCTACAAAGTTCATCACAACACTCTGCAGTCCTTCTCTGAAGTCCATATTCATTCTATTCAGTAAATTTTCACACACAAGCTAAAATAAATATAATAAAGTTTATCATGACATAACCATATTTTGCCATAAATCTTAAAAACTTTTTCAACTTAATGAAAACTTAAGTTTTCTTTTTTATTTCATTTTTTTAATATTTTGAAATTTTAAATTTTTGAGACTTACCCCATGTTCCTCCACACTGGTTACCTGATATACCATATGAACAAAATCACCGAGATATGGCTTCACAAATTCAAGCACCTTGGCTTCACTTAGACACTTTTGAATCACTTTTCCAATAGGTGTGTTCTCTATGACATTTGCTACCCTTTTGACCAATTCTTGAATTGTTTCTGCAAAACAATTTGTTTCTTGGTAGACCTCAAGAGCGCTGCATGTGGAGCTACATGTATTTATATTCCGTAAAAAATCATATTCATTTAAATAATTTCACTCAATAAAACCATTGCTCATGCAGGCAACTGTTTATGATTACTTATGGTATGAACTATCTAAAAATACACATAAAGTCACTCTGTGGCATTTTTTCAAGTACACTCATATTTAAAACCATAGAGCTGTAACTAACCAGGTTTTTCAATATCTTGTGAAGTCCTCATGGTTCGGTCAATCAGTTTGTAGATCAGCCAGGAGAATGGCATCTGTGCTGTAAATTTCTGTCCATCACAACCCGTCCCCCTCACCATCACCTCTGGAAGTTCCTGTTGTCTTTTGGGGGACACAATCATGGAATACTCAATCTGTGTAGCTGAAGGGTCATTAATGATCTCCAGCCAAAGTCTGTGCTCCCAGGTGTCTGAGTCAGTCTTAATCAAAAGGTCAAGGTTACTGTTGGTGTCCACTTGTGCAATAATGCCAGCCAAGATGGGGGACAATTTCTCAATGATACACTGGTTTCGAGCTTTTCTGCAAGTGAGAAAACAGTAAGTAACTACATGCATTACATGGTTGATAGCTACAGGTGGTGGTGAAAATTGTGTCATGAACATTATTTAGTTTTTCAATACATCAAGCAAACAATTTAATGTTTCTTTATCTGTAATGCATCTCTACTCTGTGAAAGAACCAATACAAATCTTACTAAGAAAGTTAATTTTCTTATCCCCAATTTGTTTAAAGTCAGCCAGATTTATTTTAATCTAATTTTTTTTAAAACCTGAATGTTCCTGCCCTGTTGATACAGTCCCTGTTGGTGGCCTCTGAATACAACCAACTCTCAGCAGACTGCCCCATGGTCTCCTCTTTCTCCTTCATCAGAGCCGCTAGGTGGCGCCCTACTCCTTTCATGAATGTCACTTTTTCTGTAAACCAAGGTTCAAAATTTAAGATGATATCATTTACATACTGTTACTCTTATGGAGACAAAAAAAAAATTATTTCTTTAAATATTCAAGCTAAATCATTGAAATTCATTTTTTACAAACATCTGATTAGGTCATATACCCTTTGTTTCCTGATGTAGAAGTGCTAACAGAATTTTCACTCTTTCTGTTGTCCTTGCTGAGTCCCCAGCTGGATCTTTCACCATGGCCAGGGCAGGATGTGCTGTAAGTTTAATGAAAAACGGAATATCCACCTTCTTCTCCACATGGACTTGTCCTGTACGCTCCATCATGCTGCCAAAGTCATGTGGATACACGTCCTGATCCTTCATTTCTATGTCCTCAGTTTCCTGTTGATCATGATCTAGCTTCCCCTCCCAGTCCATTTCTTCAGTGTCTCTGGGTTTAGAGGAGCTAACAGCTCTTTCTAGTAAAGTTCCCACACTCTTATTCCTCAGGTCCAGAAAACTGGGCATTTTATCATCATCTGGTCGAAGGTCATCTATGTGGACAGAGTGCCATAGACCACACTATGTAAAAACATAGAATTAGAAAGAACCTCAATAAGTTTTACATATTATTAAGCAATACATTTATAAAATACATCTCTTCAAAGCAAAAAACTTATAATGTGTTAACAAGCACACATTTGAATAGTCCTGCCCCCTTAACTTTTTTGTAAAATGATTAATTTGTACCTGGAATCCAGTGAATCCTCCACCTGCCACCCTGGGGAGATGGATGATGAAGACAATGTGTGTCTTCCCTGTCTTCTCCTCCTCCAGCTGTTGTAGCTGATCTAACACAGAATACTGGGCACAGGCCACAAGGCTAGCATTCTCGTTTCCACTGTCACACTGTACAATCAACAGAGACTCAGCATCTAAGTCTCTCTCAAAGCTTTGTCTACAAATTAAAGAAGTTTTCCTATTTTCACTGATTTAAAGATAGTTAGATGCCATCCTCACAATGTCAAGGTTTTGTGATTTCGGAACTCCACACAAACCCTTGACATAAGTCATTATTTAAAAGTTGGGCTAGAATTCTACCATTTCATTTGTTCTTGGTCTAGGACTGGAACCAATCAGAAAACTGCTTTTATTGTAGGTAAGTTTTGTAAACAAACATGACTAGTCTTTCGAATGGAAAGTGTCGATATTGTAGGATTTGTGACTAGTTACATTAAATGAAACATTGGGGATTGATTTTTGGAAGATCGTCCTCCTAATAATCACAAAAGATATGCTCTGGAGTTGGGCCATTTGAAAACGACGGAATTGAAAAATATATTCTCATTGGTTAGTTTATAATTACCAATTACGTCATGTGTAACCACAAACCCAACTTTTAAATAGCGACTTATGTCAAGGGTTTGTGTGGAGTTCCGAAATCACAAAACCTTGACATTGTGAGGATGGTTTAGATGCAGGAACTTTATATTCTTTCAAAATGTGATTATCAGTCAAGTCATTTTGTAAATCTTTGAAATCATTTTCAGTGGACCAAACAATTCACAAACAAGGGCATGTAATGCTGCCATAAATGAAACAAACAACTTACTTGACTTGTCTACAGAACTACTGACTAGCTTGTCTATTAAATTGTTTCTCTGTATCAAATGACTTACTTGACTATAGAACTGCTGCTCTGTATCAAATGACTTACTTGACTGGTCAACAGATCTGCTGCTCTGTATCAAATGTCTTAAATGACTTGTCTACAGAACTGCTGCCTTACTCGACTTGTCTACAGAACTGCTTTTCTGCATTGAATGACTTATTTTACTTGTCTACAGAACTGCTGACTTATTTGACTTGCCTACAGAACCACTGCAATGTGCCAAATGACTTACTTGATTTGTCTACAGAACTGCTGACTAACTTGACTTGTCTAAAGAATTGCTGTTTTGTGTGAAATGACTAACTACACTTGTCTACAGAACTGCTGACTTATTTTGTATACAGAACTGCTGACTTACTTAACCTGTCTATAGAACTGCTGAGGTGCTGACTTACTTGTCTACAGAACTGCTGCCCTGTATTATATGACTTACTTACTTGACCTGTCTACAGGTCTAATGACTTATTTGAATTGTCTACAGATCTAATGACTTACTTGACTTGTTTACAGATCTAATGAATTACTTGACTTGTCTACAGATCTAATGACTTACTTGACTTATCTTCAGAACTGCTGACTTACTTGACTTGTCTACAGAACTGCTGCTCTGTATCAAATGACTTACTTGACTTGTCCTCAGAACTGCTGACTTACTTGACTTGTCTACAGAACTGCTGACTTACTTGACTTGTCTACAGAACTGCTGACTTACTTGACCTGTCTTCAGAATTGCTTTTCTGTATCAAATGACTTACTTGACTTGTCTACAGAACTGCTGCCTTACATGACTTGTCTACAGAATTGCTGTTCTGTATCAAATGACTTTCTTGACTTGTCTACAGAACTGCTGACTTACTTGACTTGTCTACAGAATTGCTGCTTTGTGTCAAGTGACTTACTTGACTTGTCTACAGAACTGCTGACTTACTTGACTTGTCTACAGAACTGCTGCTCTGTATCAAATGACTGTAGAGTGAGGAGTGTGATCTGTGTGTGAGGGATGTGGAGGTACTGAGAAAGCTCTGCTACATCTACTGTGGTGATCAGCTTTGAGTTGGTGGTCACCTAAAACAATATACAGTTGAACTTTGGTATTTGGACAGTGATATCTAGAGTACCATGGATATATTGAGGACTAATGGAGGTCCTAATCACTCTGCCTTTTATATGTAATTTAACCTCAATATCAGAATCCTTGGATCTTTTCAATTTTTTTCTCAGTCCACTTAAGTTTGAGATAAAGATCTGACTGATCCAAAAATTTTATGAACTTAATGACATATTTTTACTCTGGATGTCACAAATAATGCTTGTAACAGTAAAATGTAAACACAAGTCATATGAATTAACATAACAGTCAAGCAGGAAATAAATTAAAATTCGGGCTAAAACAGAAAATAAGAGGCCCATGGATTTTAACAGAGTATAGAGAATTTCTTAGGCTTTTACAATCTGGGACTGAATCCTGAACGTAAAGGACATAAACTTCACAATTCTTGTAGATGGCTAACTGCTTACTATTATCATGAAATAGGTGCTGTAAATGTTCAAAAGTTGTCAACTGCTGGATGACAACAAATTGCAGCAGGTCACCTGATTGATTCAAGTGACCTAAAAAAGAAATCCCAAAACTTCCTTACCTGAGCATATAGTCCATCACTATCTTCCATCCTAATCTTCTGGTCAAGATAATACAGTAAATTATCATGCTTCTGTTTTTCACAGTAAGTGTTCTCTACAAATTCAAATTCCCGTTGAGGAAGTTTATTTTTGGTCCTCAATACACCGTCAGGAGTGGCACACCACAGCAAGACTTCTTTAGCAGCTTGGATCACCTGCTCAGAAAACACACGGATCAAAATTTGTTTCATTTAACTTGTTAAGAAGGCTAAATGGTCAACAAATTACCCAACAGATCCACAGTAAAAATAATTTCTAGCCATTAACTTTTATTAATTAAAGAGAAAGTTACATGCTCAAGCTTTAATATTAATGCAAATTCCTACATTCCTACATGCAGAGCTCTTTTTTTCCAGGAGGTTAAAAAATTGCCTGAAAATAGTCATGACAACCCAGTTCTCTTAACATGGTACTGATTTACTGACTTGACAAAACATTTAAAAGCTGTGAAGTATGAAATTATTATAGCAAAGTTAAAAATGACTTTGATGAACAGCATCTCTATGACCTTGACATGACATTTTTTCCTGACCTTGAGCATCTCTATGACCTTGACATGAATTTATTCCGACCTTTCATTCTGACAATTATGACGATTCTGTCTCATACATTAGTTCGAACACTACTGGCACAGTTAAAGTAGACAGACATTCAGAAAGGTATATATATATGTCATAATGCAATTCACATAAAAGTATGGGAACCTTGACAAAATTGAAACAAAAATTGATACAGTCTTTCCTTTTAATTATGACATCTTTTCCTGCAATAATGTACATGTATATATTTTCACATTCTTAACAAAAAGTCCAATAGAGTTTTCTATACCTCTTGTTCCATGCCTTCTAAGTCATCATCACTGAATCTCTGGCAGACATGAAGGATTATTGAAGCACAAGTATCAGCATGGAATCCCATAAAAACATCTCCTATCTTATACTCTGATGCCTTCTCTCTGAGGAAACCAAAATATCAAAGATGAGAAAATACCTCTATCTCTCACAAAATATGAAATATATCTGAAAAGTTTATTTTCACCATTAGTTGGGAGCATATAGAAAGTGAAAACACTTTATAGAAATTGATTCAGTCTTGAATTTCTCTAATCTTACACGGCAGAGAAAAGTATTCCCTTCATTGATAAAATGTACTCCAGCATCAAGATCTTTCAAGAAATTAAATTCTTAGATACTGAAAAGAAGACCACAAAAAACCTTGGGTTCCTAAACATTGGTACTGCTATCTTGATAAACTGTTCTGCCCACTTCTCTAACTTCTGAGCCAGCCCGACTTGGACTGGGGACAACATGGTGGAAATGTTGAGGAAATGTTTCTCCAGTCTGTTGATCAGAGGGATGGGGAACTTACTGTACACAACCTCCTTCTCTGCTACAACTATCAACCTGTAAAGGAATTATAAATCATGCAAGTCATTTATATGTATATTGCTTTACAAAATACTTTGGCATCATGGCATTTTTTATTTTGTTGGCCTGAAAGTGAAATTTGCAAAAGATTTGTTTTTTCCGTTTTTTTTTTTTTTTTTAATTTATTTCCTTTTTTTGGGGGGGGGGGGGGGGGGGGGAGGGGGGTGTTTACATGTAACATGGCATCATGATCTATTCATGTTTAACAAATATGTCATTTATTATGAAGAGTAAAATACATTCAAATTATATTTTTATAATTAATAGAACATAACATGATAATATGAGTTTCATCTACAAAGACTGCAAATTAAAGAAAATCCACACATTCAATTATTTACCTGAAATTCTTGTGAACTCTACACTTGACACGATGAGTTCCCAATCCAAGATCTACATATCTTTCTCCTCCAAAGTAGACATAATACTGAAAATATTATGGAAAATCATTCACATTATTTAAATTCAGAATAAATATACAGTCAAACCTGTTTTAAGAGACTTTCCAACGGAGAAAGGAAAAAAGGTCACATATGACAGGTGGTCTCTTAATACAGGTTGCTTATTTTCCGCAGTGTTCAAATATACAATGCTGAAAATATTACACTGTATGTGGAATATATTTTAATACATATTCTGTTTAATTATTTCCGCTTTTTAATATGTACTGCTTAACTGTAAATGCTTTTACATTATAGGTACAATTGTCCTTTTTAATAATAAATTTTGCTTGATCTGCACATGAGTCATTTGATTATTGGGAAATATTGTGAACATCTGAAAATATTATTTTTTTTTTTATATACAGTATAAAAAAGCTGCAAAGATTTTTTTTTCTAATAATAGGTTTTTTTTTTTTTACATGATAGCCTAAAACTGTATCATGATTTTTGTTATGCACTTGGTAACAAATTAAATTACATTTATGACTAAAAATTTATTGAACCTAATTAATTTTTTTTTCATTACTGAGCTACCGCATCTAATTGCCTGTTTGTCACCAGGTACTTCAATCATTTCAATTATCACCTGGTATGGGTGCTAGCTAGCGTGTGTTTACATACCCCGTTGGTGACACAATTCACTTATTAATAAATAAACATCTAGGATTTAGTTACTTGTTGATTAAAAGTTAAACAGACAGGTTTTATAGCCGAATATCCATTTGGTCGTTATAGCACGAAATGATATCGGGATCGACCTCGAACGTCTATTTTCAAAATGGCACTCGATCATTGGAGAGAAAAAACAGGAATGTTTATGTATTAGATTTTATCGTTTATTCAATAAATATCAAAAGGTAAGTAAAAATATTTATTTTGAAACGTTGTTTTATTCATAAAACTCGCATTATATAATCATTAAATGAAATAAACGCGTGTCTGTAGATGTTTTGAACCAAAAAACGTAGCATGCTCGACCGAAATCGAAAGAAGGAATCGGAAATTATATAGTCGTTAAATCCAGGTAAAATTATCTGAAATTACAAAAAATGTCAGGAAAATCACGGTCGCTGGTCGCGTTAGACAGGTAGTCGTTTAACACAGGTATAATATATAGGGAAAAGCGTTGGGAGGAAGTTTTACGGTCACATATAACAGTGAGTCGCTTAATGCAGTGGGTCGCTATGGCAGTTTTAACTCACAGTGTATAATTTTTTGACATATTGTGAGAGGTGTTTTTCTACTTGCTAAGAAATAATCTCAGACTGTAAAATCTTAAAACTATCCTGATGATAAAATATTAAAATAATCCAAGGAAATAAATGAATTATAAAACAAGTTCTATATTTTCTGCAGGAAATTTTTTTCTGAATAGAATTTGTAGAAAAAACAACAACAAAAAAAGACCGGTGGCACCACCACTCCACTCTGAACTGAGATATATGAAAGTTTCTAAAAGCATCACATAATAATGAACAAAAATTACCTGATTAAGGGCATCATACAGACTCTCATAAAGATTCTCCAAGTTAAGAAGGACCACCGTGTTTCCGGTCTCCATGCAGACTTTTATGCGATTGATATTTCTGCAAACCTATTGAACAAAAGCATTTGCATTATTTAGTTTGCTAAGATGAGAAAATTATTTGTATCTAATGTATCAAACTCCAGTCATCTCACTTACAACAGACTAGTAAGTTCACTAGAGCTTACTATAACTTTTTATATTTATTTTCCAGTAAAATTTACCGGATCTAGATTTAGTAAGTTTTGAGAGATTTTTGTCTGCCAGATTATATTCATGTACAACATGCAACATTGGACAAGACAAAGGTACTTTTTATCATCCCTGTTTCCCCTGCCTCTTGATACAGGTAACCAGGTAACATTTTGTGTGTGTAATACTAGCTGTTACCTGTGTGTACTCTTGATCACTAGGAAAACTGCTACCAAATATTGTAATGGCATTCTTCATAGTCTGGATCTTTTGTTGTAAAACTGTCAAAGCTCCATAGTTTTCTGTTAGCAATAGCAGGTACCGTGTATCACTACAACATTAAGTTTGCACCTTTATTCATTTTCTATGTACCTGACTGATTTATGCTAGCCATCGAGTGTTATAAAACTGGACATATACAAAAAACTGTAGGAGCAGCAAAAATTTGAATATGTTTTTTAAACAGACAGATGTTTGGATAATGCACGTCACCTTAGCAGTGAATAAGCTCATCCAACCATGAACTCATTTCTTACTTATTCATTTTTTGATGACACAAATTGGAATTTAAGCCAAATCAAAACTCCATTTCATTCAAGATATTTCCGTAACCTACCTGTCTACTCCGTCACCTTGAAGACAAGCTTCAATGAGACCAGCAGGTGTACAGTCAGGATCTCCTGGTGAAGGCTGAAAGGAAAAAAGACTTCAGAATTCTGCAGTTTTACATGGAAACTAATTCTCTATAATACATGTATTTATGCACTATCAATTTTATCAATATTATAAACAAACATGACACCTATACAAGTATATAAATGAATATTATAATAATTAGCAAAAGCAGGAGATAGGCCAAGGTAACCCATCACTGGAAATGCAAAGCTTATATCCTCTTTTTAGAATTCGTAAAAGTACTGTACATAACTCAAATTCTTCCAAGAACAAGTCTTAGATACTATGTTAATATTAATATGACATTTAATTGCCAAATTGATTTTCAAATGATAATTTTTTGTTTGAATGGATATAAGATGTGAAATGGTTTTATTACTGACATACATTATCTTTGAGACAAGTAGAAGCTAGATTACCATTTTAAATGTTTAATATCACAACTCAATCTTGTTTCTATAAAAATTTACTATTGATAATTACAATTTTAATTTTTTCCACAGTTGTAAGAAGCTGAGAGAAAACATCCAGGGGATCTTGGTTAGTTGAGTGTTCAAATCCCCCAAAGTTTCTCTTGATGCAGTGTTGTAGCATCAACCAGGTGGGCTTCTTGTTGTTCTTCTCAGCAAAACTGTACACCATTTTTATTAAACTGTCAAACAAGAAAACACTCATAAATTCATTTCAACCTGCACATGCATTGCTATAAAGAACAAAATTAAAGCATAGACATAGAGAGTACATCTCTTCAATGATATCAAATTGCAGAAGGAAGACACATCATTACTTCATTCTATTTGACAACAAATTTCAACATCTCTAAGCAATTACCATAACAACACACCACAATAAGGAGGTTTGCATATTAATTTGAAATTCATTTCACCATTGATAATCTATTTCACTTCAATGGACATATTACCTGTAGAAATCCCTTAATCCAAAGAACTCCCTCTTTGCGATGACAGATTTAAACACTTGTAGATAGGACTCTGCCAGGGGCTTGATCAGTGGTGTAATCATCTTGCTTATTCTTTTCTTACTTGAGCATATTCCTCTGTAATGTCAATTAAATAATTACATGTACAGTACCTCCCTTTACTATTATTTTTTTGAAACATACGAAAAAAATGCTGCAATTTGATTAAAACCTTATAATTGGGTGTAAACAAGTGTATGCTTTGTTTGAACATAACTTGACAATCACGTGAATTTCTGTTAAATATACATTAAAATTAATGGAATACATGTATCACTTGAATGTGACTGTCATCTCACTTACTCTGCACTCTCTATGAGCTCTTCAAGGTCGGGAACCTCCCTCTGTACAAGGATCCCTCGATTCATTTTGGCAGGATCCAGAGCCCAGTTAGAAATCCCAATGAAGGCTACCTGAAAAACAGAAGTGGATTGTGATTAGGATGACTTTAGAATACTTACTGTAATTCTTTAATAACCATTCATACTCTCTAAAATCCATAAATATATTAAGCTTTTACTAATATTCTTTAATAACCATTCATATACTCTCTAAAATCCATAAATATATTAAGCTTTTACTAATATCCTTTAATAACCATTCATATACTCTCTAAAATCCATAAATATATTAAGCTTTTACTAATCAAGTCCATGTTCACCCATAACAGCTAAGGCTAATTAAAAGTAAAGATATTGTTCACAGACAGACACATCGGCATGCAAACACCATTAATCCATGCACATTTTGCTTCACAACTTCTGACTAAAAATTAATTAAAACATATCACAAAAAATTTACTTTTTTATGTTCCTCTGGTTGTTCATCACCTTGACAACCATCTTCCAGCAAAGGATGCAATGTCTACAATGAATTAAAGAGAATTAAATTTTAAAGAATTCATTAACCTTAATATGTAGGCAAAAAATGATAAGATCCCACAGTGTTCCTAACTATCTTTTTAAAAAAAATGCTACAAAAGTTCTGTGAGAGATGTTTTAAATATGCCAACTGCCATCTTCATTAGCCAAGGGCTTCTGATACGCTACTCTCCTCATAAGCCCTTGGCATACGGTGTTAAAAAAAGTTGGGATTTTTTTCTCAGGTTGTAATTGGAGTTGATCGACATCGTTCAACCAATCAGCAATTGTTTTTTGTAAATGACGATATTTGCATTCGGGATATATCTTGACTCTTTAATATCGGTAATGTAAAATGCAAGTAAACAATGATCCGTAAGATAACATGCCATTCTATGAATAGCAATATGGTGTCATCCAATTTCTAAAGCAACGTGCAAAATATGTGATTAAGAATCTATACAGTGTAGATTTGCATTTTTACATGTTTAAATAACAAATTAACATAACTCAATACCTTCTTGTTAATTATTCTTTAAAAACAATTTTTTTTTAAATACGCTTTTTATTTTTGTCGATGACGCAATCTGTGCATACCTGGTAAGAATCATGATCATGTGACAAAACATTCCCGTCTTTTGTCAGCACCGTATGCCAAGGGTTTATGAGGAGAGTAGCATATCAGAAACCCTTGGCTAGCGAAGATGGCCAACTGCCAAAGAAACCCATTTTGAATTTGCTATACTGTAAATTCCTTCTTTTACGCAAGTACTTAATATCGCTAAAGGGCTCTTAGACGCCAAATTGTGAGAAAAATAATTCGTGAATGGACGGTTTACAATGAGATTTATTATTAATTTCAACACCATAAAAATAAAAGTGAGTAATTTTATTTCGCGAGTGATTCTCCTCGCGTAATTACGCATTTATTAATTCCTCGCGTATATTTAGGAATCTACAGTATATCATTGCAGTAGTGACTATGTCCTTGTCCAACATGTTTTAAACTGAATTGGTGAAATTATACTGGATAAGTGAATTGAAACAACCAGAAATGTTTCAATAACAAATTCTAGAAAGTCAGTTTTTGCTGAAACTTATTTATTGTAAAGTTGTCAATGACCTGACCTTCAGAGGCATTCTGGGAGAATCCTCAGCGAGTCCCACCTCGTCCAGTACAACAACCGAGACAAATCTATTGAGATCTTTGTCTTTCTGGTACATGGCACACTGACGGAAAGTACCCACAATTCCCTCTGGCACAGACAAAGGGCTGCATTGGAAGGACACCATCTGGACCTATATAAACAAATCCAAAGAGAAACATGATCTAATATGTACCATAAGTCTCTTACCTGGAGAAAAAATTAATCTTATTACCAAGTTAATGATTACCTACAGATATTTTAACAGTATACATAATTTTACTGTCACACCTGTTTGTAGTTCCTGTAGATCTCTGTGTGAGCAGCATTTCCCTGCATGGCGTCAGCTACAATGGTTTTAGCCAAAGATTTGGAACTGCCAGGTTTTCCCACCAAGAAAAGAGGGATTCTCAGCTCTATACACACCACCATCATAAACACATTCTCTCTCAGAGCCTGGTTTTTGGCAATGTTGGCTCCCAAGTTATCAATCTCCAAGAAAACATTTTGGCATCTAGAAAATCCAATCATCATTTAATATAAATTTAGAATTAGCCAGCAACATAAAACATGTAGCAAATTTGCTTTTCAATGCTTTTAGACAAAAATAACAAATTTCTACCAATACTGTTTAAATTCAGAAGTGACATCTTTGAAATTCATAAAATTATTTGTTGGCTATTATTTGTGCATAATAAAATCATGGACTGTCTCTCTACACTTTAAGCACCTGGTAATAATATCCAACATTTGTTCAGCCCCTCTTTCACCACCTCCTTTTGGAAGGATACAGGGAGGTCTAAACTCATTGACCATTTCTTTTCTGAAATCCTCTCTGTTTTTCAAACAAGCATGGTAGCACACTCCAAGAGCCAGAACAAGTGACTTTGTCAAATCATTGACAGTCTGAAATGAATTTATTGGTCAATTTTAGAGTATGCTGTTTGAGCAAATAGTACAAACTTTGTTTTTCTCTGGCTTTTCTCCAGCTATCATCTTAAAGTTAAAAATATGAAAGAAATAAAATGTCCTCCATCCTCCCCTAACCTGAGGCTGAGGCTCAGCCAGCACCTGGCCCTCCATTTCTTCTTCCTCCTCTTCTTCTGAGTCTGCCTCCTCCTCCTCCATCAGATCAAACAGATCTGTCTCCCCCTGACTCTGTCTGTAGAACCAGCTCATCACCTCTAGGACTCTCTCCACATCTCTCAGACTGACAAAACTACACTCATCCTATAGAATAAACAGTCAAGTTTACTTTAAAGTTGGAAAGTTGTATGACAGGGGTTTACATTCTAGAAATAAATAACAGACAATCACTGGAAACTCATAAATACTAATTGACTTGGCCATAACTGCAAACAAGAATTCTCTACTTTAAGGAGAAAATTGCTTTTATCAAACTTCTATTAATCTCTTATCTACGTTAACAATTATATTTATAATCATAAACCTAGATTATTTGGTATCGATAATTCTTGCCTGTTGTCTCCTCATGAATTCCTGAGCTGATGTAAGAATATGACTGACTGTTGTGTCTAAATTTGGTTCATTTGGCAGTTTCCCTCCTCGAATCTAAAAAAAAAAAAAAAAAAAAAAAAAAAAAAAAAAAAAAAAAAATTCCTTCTAATTCAAACAAAATTTTAATTACTAGAAAGTTTTTGAAGAAATGGTCCAATAGATGTGTATTATATGTCCTTGAGTTCTACTTTCCTGAAATTTATTCTGAAATCATTTTTTCTGACTTACATATCTAAGAACCATCTGTTTGATGTACATTTCCTCCACATTGGTGTCCAGTTGTCCAAAGTCCCAGACCAGGGGTAGCATGCTCTGGGGGAGGGGCTGCACTCTGTATACCAGTCTCCTCATGGGAACTCGACCTTAAATACATTTCAGATAGAACTATTTCAAACTTGCATTAAATTCAGATCAAAGACATTTCATTTATATATGTTTATATATCTTCCATCTTCATGATCATACAGTCATGTTTATGTACTTCATCCTAACAATTATACTTAAGTATTGTACTTGTAAAGAAAAGCTTGATAGTATTTCAGAGGAATGACGTTTTTTATTTATACTTGGTACTCAAAGAGATTCACTTAATGTAACAGTACCCATTCTGTCTGTTGTTTTATCAGCATCCACATGGTAACCCAGTCCAGCTTGTTCTAGTCTCTTGATCAGGTCCTCAGAATGCCTGCAATTTAAATAGGAATTTACTACCATGCAAATTTAAGTCAAGGTCCAGTAGACTAAAACCAAATTTGGTCAGAGAGAGGGGAAAGAGAGAGAGAATTGCTATTAAAATATTAAGTTGATGCAAAATATTCTTAAGAGCAAGCAGGTATCATTTACTTTCTGTAGGGGTTACAAGCAGCCACAATTTTCAGTGTCTGACAGAGTTTGAGTGGTTCCCCCTCCATTGAGCGGTCACACATAATCTCCTTGATTAGACCTATAGCCTCTGTGGTGTTGGCCTCATCAAAGAACAACACAGTATACAGTCTCTGTCCATAATTAGCTGTGTTCTCCTGAGCTATTCTCTGAGCATCCAGCACTTTCCTGATGATATCACTTCTACGTGTGCCTCCATGAACCTACACAGCAAATAGATGTGTGAAATAAAACAAAAGGTCATACCACAGCAAAAGAACTAGTTGGGAATACTACACCCAGTGCATCTACATAATTGGGGTTAATCATGGTCTATCTGTATTTCTTACCTTCATAAGGATCATATTCTGGACCTCCACCCCAATAGGACACTGAAGCTGACACATGAATTTCACAAGACGGGTCTTGCCACAGCCTGTCTCTCCCATGATTATCACAGGAATGTCACACCTGAATCAAACAAAACAAGAAATTCAGCATTTGATTTTCCAACATTCATAAACTACACAACTCTGCAATCTTAAGTTGCTAAGCCATAGCTATGATTGTGGAGCTTTATCATAAAATGTTTACCTAAAGCGCATGTAGATGGCCAGTATCTTCTTGACATTGTCTGTTGTAAGTTCATAGGTCGGGTCAGGATCAAATACATCTTCCACACCCATCACACTGCACAGCTTAAACAACTTCTGATCTCTGTGAAAAGTAAATTCATACTCACTGATAGTTGACCTGTGTCTCACCATATCCTATAATTAATAGAGAGGTTGAGATCTTACACTTCTACGCGTACGTGTGCATATACTTCGACTTACACGTTTTTTGTAATTGTCTGTTGAGATTTTCATGATGTATGGCAAGAATGTGTACATTGTGATCGGTGTCTCTGTTTCAACTATTTAGTAGTCGTGACATCAGTTTGACTTTAGTTAGTAAATAAAACATGGTTAAAATAAGTGTTCATGAAACTAACCATCCTAAATAATGTACAACAGTTAGTTTTTACACATAAATTGACTAAATTTTATTATAAAAGCTACAAGTTTACTCTTGTAGATGCCACTTTACAAGTTGTAGGAATGTGTAGAGAACTTTTCATCACTAAAACTGATGACGTAATATGCAAGGAATTTAGGGAAAACCCCTACTAGACTACCCGTACAAGTACCTGTATGAAATCTCAACCTCTCTATTGTTGGGAAAACACAACAGAATGTACATTATGCAAAGATTACCTTGGTAGACTGTCAAAGTTTTCATTGATAGGGACCCTATTTCTGATGAGGGCATCCTGTAGATTTCTCTGCATGATTCCCCTTTCCAACACTGCGTTTGTCTGTACATCTATCAGGTTACCAGACTGTCTCTCTATGTTAAATCCCAGGAACGTCATGGAATGATGATCAGGATTAAAGAACAAGTAAGGATGGGGACTGCAAAAAATACAGCATGTGGAATTTCAAGTACCCAAGAAGTTTTTCCTCAAAGAGAGTTTGATTACAATACAGTCAAGTCTTAAAGGGACCAAGAAAAAATTTCAAGATATCCGAGAGTTCAAGATACTGAGGGTAAAATACATAAAGAAAATCCAGATCACTTCAACATATCCATGATATTTGAGATATTGACGTTCAAGATAACAAAATTCAACTGTATACATTTATGTGCTGTTTAATTGGTACATGTTAGACATAGATTTTACCTGCTCTCCCACGTCCTCCTGAGCTGAAACTGACGAAGCACATCCTCCTCATTTTCCTCCTCCTCCTCCTCAGTGTCCATCCTCTGTAACATCTGTATGGGGGACTCCTCACTCATATTCAGGGAGCGGGTCGCAAAGTCCTGTCAAATTCACTCATTACAATAATACTGCTAACTAAAAGACAGTTGAATTCCATTTAAAATAACTTTATTTCAAAGATGCACACTGTACATGTATATATTAAGGATAAAGAGCTAGAATTCATTTTTTACTGCTTTTTAACAGGTTACAAATTCTAGAAAATATAGCAAATTGACAATTTTTCATCCATACAAGTAATAAATGAAATACTCTTCAATTTGGAATTGATGTGACATGTATTTTGAATAAGGAAAGAAAGAAGATTCCATACCCTAGACATCTGGATGAGGAACCTTAGGACAAACTGTGAAAATCCCGGTAGATCCTCAGCAGCTGCCAGACTCACAAAGGCTGAGTTCTCAAAGTCCACCAGTTGAGTGTTAAGGAACCAGACAAAATGACGCAGCTCAGCCCAAGAGGGATCTCTGATACCACAGTGTCTGTTTGATAGATAGAAATATAAGTTATATACAAAATCTCTTTTCAGCTAGATGTACTTGTTATGGCATGGCAGCTCATATGTAACATGGTCAAAGCTGTGTTTTATTGGACACAGCGAATAGCCCCCTTGAAGATCTTATCATGACTAAAGTTTAAAGCTAGTGGATTACTTGAGCAGTGTCTGTAGACAGGTTTGGGGGTTTCCCTCTGTCCTCCTCAAATTTACGTCCCCCAAGCCTCGATTCATGTCCAGTCTGTACAGATACTGGAACGGCCTCTGGAAAACATTGCTCTCAAACTCCTTCCGGTCAAACAGTAAGTCATGCTGTCCAATATCTATAAACAGATTAAATAATGCATTGTACATTAAGGCACATGAAACTGAACTACAAGTACAAGTATATATTTCTTTTTATACTGTATTATAATCTGCACTGGTGTTGATGGCTGAAAAAAAAATGCAATACCTGGAGCATTTCCTTGGTATTTCTTCAGACTTTCTTGAGGAGATCGACAGGTCACATCAGGAAGAATGTCCAGGCATCTATGCATGCATTTTATATAGCCTCTCTGTAAAAAGCAAAGTAATTTTACAATCACGCACCCCTTTTCCATAGTCAGAAAGAATAAGAAAGAATAAAAGATTTCAAGGCCATAAAAGTTCTTCAGCAGAAGAGGAGGAATCTGACCTGTTCTTGAAAGTCCCTGGCCAGTAGTGGCATGGTCTCCACGATGTAAAGGTCATAGGGCAGCTTCCTCCACACATGTCCAGTACTGTTGGTCAGACAGCCCAGGATCAGTAACTGGAACAACAGGTAGTCCACTCCATCCTGGACCTGAACATTTAATTATTATAGAGAATTTGATATAAGTCAATATACAGTAATTGCAAATGCAAAATTCTTATAAAAAAATATTTCCTTTTTAAGGACTGTTTGGTCCTTTTTTAAAATATGAGACTTCTCAGACTTTAATTTAGTTTGAATCTTCAATTGATTTTTTTGGGGGGTGGGGGTGAGGGGTGGGGATGGGGGGGGGGGGTTAGAGTTTATTACATAAGATAATATACATTTTATAACAACAAATTAACCTTACCTCATGAGAAAGATCAATGTGGAACAGCCTTGGTTCTATTTTCCCAGGATGCAATGTGTTCTCCAGGAGAACACCCATGATGTCATCAATGGTGATTTCCCTCTCGTGTAACGGGAGAGACACCACTGCCTTTTTGCTTCTGATCACTCCACTGTGTAGACCATGGAGTTTTTCAGCCAATCTTTTCTTGTGTAAACTCTTCCCAACTCCAGCTCTCCATGATTTCACCACTCTGACTGTGCAGCTATTGAGCAAGAACAATCAACACAAATAAATTAATGTTTACATGTATAATATCCACATTCTGCATGTTTTCATGTAAACCAGTCTACTGCTTATTTGCATCATTCTTTATTCAAACAAGAGGCCAATGGGCCACATCGCTCACCTGAGTAACTTTGGCCATGCTGTTCATTACCAGACTTCCCCCCTTGTAATACCTATTGTGGCCCCGCCCTACCCCCGGGGGTCATGATTTTAACAATTTAGAATCAACACTATCTCAGGATGCTTCCACATAAGTTTCAGTTTTTCTGGTCCAGTGGTTCTTGAGAAGATTTTTAAAGATTTTTCCTATATATTTCAATGTTTCCCTATTGTGGCCCCGCCCTACCCCCGGGGTCATGATTTGAACAATTTAGAATCTACACTATCCCAGGATGCTTCCACATAAGTTTCAGCTTTTTTGGCTCAGTGGTTCTTGAGAAGAAATTTTTAAAGATTCTTCCTATATATTTCAATGTAGAACTTGTATCCCTATTGTGGCCCCGCCCTACCCCCGGGGGTCATGATTTGAACAATTTAGAATCTACACTATCCCAGGATGCTTCCACATAAGTTTCAGCTTTTCTGGCTCAGTGGTTCTTGAGAAGATTTTCAAAGATTTTTCCTATATATTTCAATGTAAAACTTGGATTCTCTATTGTGGCCCCGCCCTACCCCCGGGGGGTCATGATTTGAACAATTTAGAATCTACACTACCCCAGGATGCTTCCACATAAGTTTCAGCTTTTCTGGCTCAGTGGTTCTTGAGAAGAAGATTTTTAAAATTTTCCCTATATATTTCAATGTAAAACTTGGATTCCCTATTGTGGCCCTGCCCTACCCCCGGGGGTCATGATTTGAACAATTTAGAATCTACACTATCCCAGGATGCTTCCACATAAGTTTCAGTTTTTCTGGTCCAGTGGTTCTTGAGAAGATTTTTAAAGATTTTTCCTATATATTTCAATGTAAAACTTGGATTCCCTATTGTGGCAGCGCCCTATCCCCGGGGGTCATGATTTGAACAATTTAGAATCTACACTATCCCAGGATGCTTCCACATAAGTTTCAGCTTTTCTGGCTCAGTGGTTCTTGAGAAGAAGATTTTTAAAGATTTTTCCTATATATTTCAATGTAAAACTTGGATTCCCTATTGTGGCCCCGCCCTACCCCCGGGGGTCATGATTTTTATAATTTAGAATCTACACTACCCCAGGATGCTTCCACATAAGTTTCAGCTTTTCTGGCCCAGTGGTTCTTGAGAAGAAGATTTTTAAAGATTTTTCCTATATATTTCTATGTAAAACATTGATTCCACATTGTGGCCCCGCCCTACCCCCGGGGGTCATGATTTGAACAATTTAGAATCTACACTACCCCAGGATGCTTCCATATAAGTTTCAGCTTTACTGGCCCTGTGGTTCTTGAGAAGAAGATTTTTTAATGACCCCACCCTATTTTTGTCTTCTCTTGATTATCTCCCCTTGTGAGGGGACTTGGCCCTTCATTTTAACAATTTAAATTCCCCTTCACCCAAGGATGCTTTGTACCAAGTTTGGTCAAAATTGGCCCAGTGGTTCTTGAGAAGAAGTCAAAAATGTGAAAAGTTTACGGACGGACAGACAGACAGACAGACAGACAGACAGACGGACGGACGGACGGACGACGGACAAAATGTGATCAGAAAAGCTCACTTGAGCCTTCGGCTCAGGTGAGCTAAAAAGTTTGATGAGAAAAAGACAAACATTTCTTACCATTTACCTTTGCCAATTAATGTCTTTTTCTACACAACATTATGAATGACAAGCTTAAAAAATATATTTTGTGAGCAAAGGATCAGCAATGACCCTAGGCAACATTTTTGGGCACAAAAATACATTTGAATTAAGATAATTAACTTACAGTCAGTAATTTAGCAATTCAATTGTCTTAAAATTGTTGTACAAGTTTAATAAAAACATTATCAATACACTACATACTGTTCAAAGTCAGCTTCAGCTGCAGGGGTAGCACTTGGTCTCCTGATGTCAAACGTCAGCTTATCTTTGATATATTTTGTCATGTTGTCATGTGTCATCAGAGGAAGAGGGGGGCGTCTGTATTTGTCCAAAGCTGCCACAATTCTGGAGTGATACTCCCTCTCTGTGCTACAGACTACCACTAGTTTGTAGGGAATTTCTGCAGAAATATTGAAATACAGGATGATGATAATAAATATTCAAAGAATGATAAACCTGAACAACAACTTTTTTTAAATATTAAGGCTTCAGTTGGGTTTTGAATAACTACCGAGTTCTACAGCTTTCTGCATGTGATGTTCCAGTCTTCTTTCCCCTTTATCACTGACTTCATAATCCAGAAGGTCACCATTGACCAAACAATGGATTCTGTCTGTTGTGTCTAGTACAGCTCTCCTCCAAAATATCTCCACCTAAGAAAAAAGCATCAACTACTAAATTTAGTAAACTTTTTTTTAAGAAATGAGATAATTTTTTCATGTACTCCAGATCTCTCATCCTGATAATGATGTTATGTCAAGTCACAATTTTTACCCTTTCTACCAGAATAATCAATAATTTTAGCTACCTAATAAGTATATAATATGCTTTTGTGTACATTTTATCAACAAAATGGTCTAATCTTCTTTATTAAGATCTTTCCACCCAATAAACTGACCTCATCCAGAGTGGTGTGTGGAGTACACATCAGGATCTCATCCGACTGAGGAAGAGGCTGGTCCGGATCATGGCTGTATATTGTCAGCACGGTATTTAAAATCTCATCTGAAAACAAATTCAAACTAAAACATAGGTAATCAGAGATTACAGAGCTCACCTCAACGAATGTTGTCTTTAAGTAAGGCAAAGTCTCAAACTAATAATCTAGTAGTGTGCATCCCCAGATGTGACATTTATGAAATTTTGGTACGATAGGGCTTGCAGTTACTTGGGAATGGACTTACCTAAAAACTTCAAACTGGTCACTCATCTGGAAAATGTAAGTCATATCCAGCATCTGGAGAAAATTTGAGAGTGTTCATCCTGTGATGCATCATCCTTGCAAGTTTGGTTCTGATAGCCCTTATAGTTTATTTTAACTTGGTCACTCATCCAGAAAATGTAGGTCAGATACAGCATCCGAAGCAAGTCCAGTAGTGTGCATCCTAAGATGTATCATCCATGCAAGTTTGGTCAATATAGGGCTAATAGTTACTTGGAAATGAGACCTGCTCCAAAAACTTTAACCTGGTCACTCATTCGGTCAGATCCAGCATCCAAAGCAAGTGTGGTAGTGTGCATCCTTAGATGTATCATCCATGCAAGTTTGGTCAAAATAAGGCCTATAAGTACTTGAAATGAGACCTGCTCCAAAAATTTTTACCTGGTCACTCATCCAGAAAATGTAGGTCAGATCCAGCATCTGAAGCAAGGGTGGTAGTGTGCATCCTTAGATGCATCATCCATGCAAGTTTGGTCAATATAGGGCTTATACAGCAAAACTTGTCTAATCTGGTGACCAGTGGTTCCAAAATTTTTCGCCGGATTAGACAACATCCGGATTGGAGAAAATTGAACCGTTATAGCAAGTTAAAAATTACATAGATATAAACAAAGAGTGGTAAATAAATGATTTATCAAATGTGTCATTTTTTAGGTTTCACTTGAAAAAATCGTCAATTTTGTTTGTTTTGAACTTTGTTTGTTCTTCAGAATTTTCATTTCTGTTTAAGTTTTATATCTCTTGGTCATTTATTAAATTTGAAAATCGTTAAATTTTTTGAACACGCTCCAAAACCTCATCGAAGCTGTAAATATTATTTTGTTAAGGACAGATTCCTTATTAATTTCTTTCTTTTAAAATTGAATATTTAGACACGGTATTTGTTTATTTCAAATGTTATAATGAATACTGGACCAAAATCTTCTGTCGTTAAGGTTGTTGTAAACTAGCGACACAAAGGGAAGTAATTCAAATTGCACGTCGAGCACGCAAAACGAAAGTAGAAAGGAGGTCATGAATAAGCCTCCAAGTTTTTCTACAGACATGCTACAAGCAACCATCACTATCACTCGTTCTTTTGCGAGTTTCCTCGCCCTACTTGAGCCATCGATGATTTTTTTTTAATCACGTTTGTTAAAATCTAAACTGTCGATACAGGATAGATCATTAATGGGACAATAATTACCCCACGCGAGACTTCTCTAATGACCAGCGGGCACAGGTAAAAATAAGTGGCCGGATTAGAGGAGATAATTTGTACTAATTATGAGCAGTTAGTTCTTCAAATAGCGGCCAGTTTACAGAATAGGCAAGATCCGGATTGAACAACATTTATTAAACATAAATTATAAAGAAAATTCAAGGGACTAAAATATTACGCCGGACTGAACAACATGCCGGAATGCACAACATCCGGATTCAACAAGTTTTATTGTAGTTACTTGGAAATGAGACCTGCTCCAAAAACTTTAACCTGGTCACTCATCCAGAAAATGTAAGTCAGATACAGAATCCGAAGCAAGTCCAGTAGTGTGCATCCTTAGAAGTATCATCCATGCAAGTTTGGTCAATATAGGGCTTATAGTTACTTGGAAATGACATCTGCTCCAAAAACTTTAACCTGGTCACTCATCCAGAAAATGTAGGTCAGATCCAGCATCCGAAGCAAGTCCAGTAGTGGGCATCATTAGACATATATCATCCATGCAAGTTTAATTGGTCAATATAGGGCTTATAGTTACTTGGAAATGAGACCTGCTCCAAAAACTTTAACCTGCTCTAAGAACTTAAATCCTCCATGCATTTCTGATTAATATAGGGCATAGAGTACTTGATAGAAAATTGCACCAAAAACTTTAACCTGGGACACTGATGCTGAGGGTATTACATAAGCTCTCCCAACTTTGTTGAGGTGAGCTAAAAATCTGACAAAAGTCAGAAAAACCTTGCAGTACTCTCAAATCAATAATCTTGAAAGAACTATACACGGTAAGGGCGTACTCCTGCCCCCATAATAGTCAAATTTTGAAAATCTCTTGAAATGAGCAAAAGTGCATATATTGTATAAAATAATCCAAATTAAGACAATATATTATGAAATTGGAAAAAATAGTTGGCTTTTCTTGTCTCTGTGACGTCACAAACTATTTGGATTTCCGTTATTTTTAAAATAGAGGCCAAAATGCACAGAGTTTGTTCAAATTTGACTATAGTATTTATAGAGCGCAAGCTTGCTCAGGTACCATATTCACATATTTCTTTGATATTAACATTCTATACATTATATCAAAAGATCTAGTCTGAGCAGACCTGCGCTCGATAATTTCCAATCAAAATACTGACGTAAAATACACTATTTTCTCTCAAAATCATTGCAATTTGGAATTAACGTCATTTTATTGACGTCATATCTAACTAATGATGTCATAGTTGATAAAAATATTTAATGCTTTGAAGTCTGCAAATATCCACCTGGTTTAGAACATAATTAAAGATTTCTCCATCAAAGTTTTATTTTGGGGGCAGATACTGGCCACTACAGAATATAGTCCTTTAATATTGCAATTTGAGCAATGGCTTTCTTAAATCTTCACCTATGTGTGTGTTAAATAAATATTAAGTGACTGTCATTTTAATGTTTGGAGAAACTTGAGTTATTTAACGGTGCTCAAGATATTGCATCACACAAGAGCATGATAGCTGGGCAGACAAACAAAGGGTACCGGTCTAAAATAGGACTTTTGACGTCTATCTAATTTCAACTGATGAAAAATACCAATGATGACACCTGTTTTATAGTAATATAATCAAATACGTACCTTGGGGACAGAGTAACAGATTTGGAACACCTCTCTCAAAGCAAGGTAGGAAAGGGCGTTGAACACAAAATGTTTCTAAAAACAATCAAAACCTTAGGTTGATTAAATCATTCAGTGTGTAATTTATTCATACATTAAAAATTGTCATATTATAAACAGTAAAACACAAGATACTTGAAAAATGAAGATCTGATCACTGCATAAACTCTAACTACAGTCAAACCTTGCTATCTCAAATTCAATAAGACCCAGTAAAACCTTTCATATATCCAATGATTTGAGATTTCAAGGTTAAGGAAACATATAAAAGAATAATATGAAGAAAAAGTGGTTGGCTTCAACTCGCTCCAACATACCCATGGTATTGGAGATATCAAAGTTTGAGATAACAAATTTCAACTGTACTTGTAAGCTTATTACAAACATCATAGCACTCTTGTTATCACAAATTCTGCTGATCAATATATTAGGTACATGTGTACTGTACAGACCAGTTTCTGTGAGTCTCCTGAGAATGATCCCCAGATGTTCCACACTGAGATAGTCTGACACACTGGAAGAAATGGAGGATAAGAATTCCTCCCACAACTGTTCTAGGTCTGGAATAAGGGTGTCTGCTGCGGTGCTACAATAGATGATTTTCACCTTTACAAAAGTTATATTCTTTGCAGGGTCAATCGGGGGTCGATTGGCATAACCCATCATTTTCCCTCTGTAATTAGGAGTGAAACGGTTCACCGCGGTATAGGTTCATCACGGTATTTTTTCTCGGTTTGATACACGGTACAAAATCTCAATTTTCGGTTCGGTTCATTTTTAGTTCGGGATCGGAAATCAATCGGGATCGACATACATAAAACACGCTTTTTAAACAAGATGACTGACGCAAACAACAATTCGATGAATTCGCACAAATTGCAATGTACTGAAGACGTTTTAAAATTAAAAGACCCACCTGCGAAATTTCGTTCGCCAGTTTGGAAGCATTTCGGATTCCCTATGAAAGAAAACGATGCACAACGTACAGTCTGCAGGATATGCCTAACAGACATAAGTTACAAAGCAGGCAACACAAGTAACATGTCTACACACTTAAAACGAAAACATGGCATAGATGTATCTGCATCTGCTTGTTCTAAAACACCGATTACTGAAGAGGTGAAATCGGAAAACAATAATGATCAGGCAGACTCGTCTAAATCAACAACTCCATCCGGTCAACTCAGACTTCAGGATGTACTAAGTTTCAAAACAAAGTTAACTTTGAAATCCCCTAGGTCAGTAAACATAACAAAAGCTATTGGTGGGTTTATAGCCAAAGACATGAGACCCTTTTCTGTTGTTGACAATGATGGATTTAGATATCTTATCAATACACTAGAACCAAGATATGAAGTGCCTAGCAGAACCTACTTTGCTCAAACTGTAATTCCTTCAATCAAATCTGCAATAACCCAGAGAATTAGAGATAGCCTGAAGACTGCTGAGAATATCTCACTTACTACAGATGGTTGGACTTCTAGAGCCACACAGTCTTACATAGCAATCACAGCACACTTCTTAGACCCTAATTTCTCCATGGTCAACTACACCTTGCAAGCAAAGCAACTCCCTGAGTCTCACACAGGAGAGAACCTAGCAAAAGTGTTAGAGAATGCCATAGATTTCTGGAATCTAAAGCGACAAAAACCTATTGCTGTGACAACAGACAATGCAAGTAATATTGTGTCAGGTGTGTCCATAGCAGATGGTGTGCATCCACATATATGATGTTTTGCTCACACTGTAAATCTTGCCACACAGAGAGGTGTTAAAATCACTCAGCTAGATAAAATACTTGCACGTGTAAGGCGTATAGTGGGATTTTTTCATCGAAGTTCTACAGCATCAACAATATTTGCAACACAGCAGAATGTTCTTGAACTTCCATCACACAAGTTAATCATTGATGTTCAGACTCGATGGAACAGTACATATGATAGGGTTGCCAGATATTCTGAACAGCAGCCTGAATAATCGCAGCCCTTCTTTCAAAAGAGGTCAAGAAAAACTTGAAAGACGTAGTGACTGTCTCAGAAGAAGAGACAAAAATTCTTGAGGATCTTGTGGTGGTCTTGAAACCCCTTAAGACAGTGACTACGTTGATGTGCGACACTCATCACCCTACCATATCACTTATACACCCACTGAAGGAGATGTTAATGAGGCAGTTGGCTGTGAGAGATAGTGACTCGTCTGTTATCAAAAATGTAAAGAACACTATCCTTGAAGACTTAAAACAGAGGTACTTATAAATTCAAGTTTTCAGTTTTAGAAAATAATGTATTAAAAATTTAAAAAAATTAAACATCACAAAATAACAAGTTAAATAAAATTTATTTGCATCCACTTAATAGCTTCAAACAAATTTATTGAAGAATGAAATGTTATAAAATATCTGGTTTATATTAATATGTCTCTCACTTTAGGTACACAGACCCCGACATGCTTGACTTCCTCCTACAGAGTTCAGCTTTGGATCCTCGGTTTAAAACCCTCCCATATATAACTGACGAAAAGAGGATATCAATTTTCCAGAGTTTAGAATCACATGCACAGGACTTTGACTATTCTCAAGTATGAAGTTTTTTCCAATTTTTTCTTTCTTTTTTTTTTTAAATGACTACTTCCACAAATATCAGTAAAAAGAATACACAAAGTTTTATGTTTCAATAATGTCTGATATACATGTAAATTTATAATTGAACAATGAAAATTATTTGAGATTTCAAAATGATTAAAAATATATTCTGATAAAAGTATAAATTCTAAATTTAATATAGGGCAATGAGTGTCTTTTGTTTTTACAGCCAGTGCCTATAAAACAGGAACCAGACTTACAAGAGGAGCCTTCACTTCCTTCTTTACCTGAACTTCCCATGTTACCCTCACCAGATTCAGATGGTGATAGGGAGCCTCCCTTGAAGAAGTCTACCCCAGTTAGTGCTATTGATGACCTGTTTGGTGATGTATTTGTGACACATGTTGAACCACCCAAAAGCCCACAACAACTATTACAAGCAGAGTTGAAAATGTACAGATCAGAGAAACCAGTACCTACTACAAGCTGTCCATTGGAATGGTGGAATGAACACAAGCATACCTACCCAATTCTGTCCAAGATGGCAAGATATTATCTGGCTATCCCTGCTACATCTGTAGCATCTGAACGGGTGTTCTCCACTGCCGGGGACATAGTGAATGCACAGAGAGCAGTTTTGTCTCCAGAAAATGTTGACACTCTTATTTTTTTGAAGTCTAATATCATTATCCCAGATGACTTGTTAGGATGAAGGGATTATTGGTCACATATAGTGTATTGTCAAATGTTGTTTTTTTTAGAATTTGTTCCTACTTTTCATTGTTTTACTTGCCAAATTTAAGGAGGAAAAACTCTTGATTCCTTTGTAGATTCAATTTAGTCTAGTCAATTTTGTGTACTACACTTAAAGTCACTTAACTCACTTTATGCTAGTCAATTTTCACATCAGTTAAGTTCTGTTATTAGTAAAATAAAAAATTAAACAACGTAGAATTTGTTTCCATGAATCAAAATGTATCGTATCGAAAATAACCGTATCATGACAAAAATTTACGATACGTATCGTATCGTGAAGGAGGCGTATCGTTTCACCCCTATCTGTAATATTACTAACTTTATGGGGTAGTGTCTAACAAATCTATATACTAAGTATGTATACAATCATTATCATGTTTTCTTTCATGCCCTATACTATGGCAATACCACTCTCTACCATCGGCTCATACATTCACCTCTGTCGTTGGCTCGCGTATATCACAGTTGTAAGCACGGAAAATAGTGCAGTTGTTTTAATTCATTATGAATAATACTTGCGCTAATATTTGTCTTTTAATGTAGATTTTTTCTAAATAGATCTAGAACTAGATCTAATTGTTTAATTTGAAATAATCCTTGGAATATCATGTTTTCTACTTTATGTCAAAAATTTTGACGCGAGCCCATTGCAGAGGTGTCTGAGAGAGGAACGAACGACAACTCTGCATAGGAGATTGTGGCAATACAGGAACAGTACAAAATAGTCTAAAAGCATTTAAAGGTTTTAAATGTTTACAGGTAAATTTCAAAGGATATAGTGAGAAAAATGAGTGTTATGCCAACACAAAGATCGACTCGGAGATAATTTTTAAGAATGTGAAAGTTGTCTATACATGTCATGTGACCTTATAGGCAAAATAAGGAGTATTATAGGATGTGAAATGTATATTCTGCCAACTGAAGATACAACAGCAGCATTAAAAATTTGCTAACAGTACATGAGTTATCTGAATCTATAAAATATACCCTCACATTATTTCAAAGATTATCTTTAATTTCAAACCATCAATTACCCCATTCCCATATTGCAGAAAACCACTGTCATTGATAATAATAAAATATAAATGAGAAAATATTGGATAACAATGATTTTTTTTTTTTTTGGATAAAAATCCAGTGTCAATAATGATTATGAGGAGGAGATTTGATTTGATCAAAACATGAATTTTTTTACTTCCAGCAAGAAATATTGGTGAAATTTTAGTCATTTTGTTGCAAGATTATTCAGCTTACCTCCATTTGTAAAAGTCTTATGTTCTCATAAAATATCCTTTACCCCAAGTGATTAAAACAATCATTTGCAACCTTTCAATCAATTCTTTTGATGCCGTCTGCTCTTCATAAGCAAAACAGGAAGTGGAAGTAAAAGGGAGATTACTCTTTGGCACTTGTAATAGTACTGGTTAATTCCCCTTGAACTATGCAATGACCTTACTTTAGAATGAAATACATTATTGTATATATCTTTCTATATTCTGATGTTTACTATAGGTCAATAAAAAATAAGCATCATTACAATTAGTATGCATAAATCTAAGCCCCCCCCCCCCCCCTTCGCCAAATATTTAATAATAAAATATCTGTTGCATGCAGGTCTGGTAAAAGGACCTGTCCCTATTGAAAAATGACTCTTTCCCCCTAGATTAAATTTACAAATTCCTAAAGATCATACAGATTGAATTTTTCATTGCTTTTTATTACTGGTAATAATCTTGAATTTTGAGATTTTATCAATTGAATTGTCTTTATTCTACAGTAAAGCATAAAAACATCAATATTTCCAAATTTTGCCACCATTCTCAACTGAAAGGGATTAAGACTCTATAACATAGGAAGGGTCAATCAAGCCCCCCCCCCTTTCCTTTTCATCAAAGATCATGCACATATCATGTCACAAACATAAAGCAAAGTATATTCAATTTGATTACCTACATGTAGGAGCAAAATGCAAACAAAATTTTATGGAAAATGGCATGATGGTCTCTAACAGGGATTTATCAGCCTATATTGGGAAACGCCATTTTTGGGGAATTGGGAAAAAATTATCGGCTTTTTTGATGAAATTGGGAAAAATTAAAAATGTTGCTTAAATCATGTATTCAGGTGTAATTCATTTAATATTTCAGCATGAACTCTAATTTGGGCAACCAAACAGACAATTATAATATATGATCCAACTTCATACAAGATCAATTATGAATAACAGACTAACAAAAGTAAAATTGACTTCAATGAGTATAAAGTGTTTATACAACTTAGGGTAGTACATGTGTGTATGAGACTCCAATTTAGGTCATTACAGAATCTGTTTCTGGAAAATATAAACCTCCTGCAAGTATATATTTTCTCAAAGTCCTCTTTTAATATGTATTAATGCATTGAAAATATATTTTTCTATTTGAAATAATGCCTACAGTCCTTACCATTCACTCATAGATCAATTGAGTATGTAGAAATAACTTAATAAATCTATATAATTACACAATATCACCATTTTCAGAAAAACGGAGGAAATTCGGAAAGTTGGCGATGTTTTTACAGTGTTTTTAGACATGTGTCATGACTGTAGCTTTGCTAAATGACTTAAACAGATGAAAATTACAGACAATCTGACAATTTTCCTTGTGTTTTTCCAAGATAATTAAGTATAAAAGCATTGTTTGCCAATTGGGAAAAAATACTGCCAAATTGGGAAAAACTAAACTCATTTTCAATTTCGAATGGGCCCGAATTTCGGCCCCTGAGAAGGTACTGATAAATCCCTGTCTAATGAAATTTATTTTCTTCTATTTTTTTTTCTTCAGATTTCTTAGCTTTCTTCCCATCCTCCTTTGATAAAGAGATATAAAAAAAAAATCCCCTTACTCCTTGTTGTACTGGAGATCAGACAGGATATTCTGGGTCATAGTGGAGATAGACTTGTCAGATTTTGTCCAGCCCTCGTAGTCCTCAACAACCACTTCTACCTGCTCCTCACTAGCTTCTACCTCCATCTCTGCCTCATCCTCATGCTCCATGCACCACACTATACCTGTTAATATTTAATGTTGTCCTACGTTGGTACAGCTCATGAGTATTCCTCACATATTTCATGGAGAATTACCATATATACTCACCTATAAGTCTGTCCGCCTATAAGTCGGTTGTATTTTTTGAGGATATTTTGGAGGGATTTGCCATTGGCCAGCTTTTAAGTCGGTACAATTTTTTGCCAGAATCAGTTGACAATTTAAAATCAATGCTATGATGATTTAATCTGGTTTCAATTAATATTTTTAGAAAAAGTTTATTTATTTAATTGATATTTAATTTTAAATCATTAAGAAAAATACATAATGCACACTTAAGATAGAAATAAAGTTATTAAAATATGTAAATACTTGTACTTTATGTATAATTTTAGAATACATAAATGATATATAATATCCAGACTTTGTTCAACGATAATAGTGGGAAATGATTATAAAATACTACATTTTGCCGTCCAGAAAAATACTAATCTTTTTAGGACTCGTCTATAAGTCGGACATAGAGTTTTGGACCAAAATTTAACTCCCAAAACACCGACTTAAAGGCGAGTATATACAGTACATAAAATTCATGTGTTAGACAGAGAGAGAATGACTCCTCCCTTATACATAAAGTGATGATGTACCCTTGTTTTATTTACAATGTTAGCCACAACCATAATGTATGAAATACAATTCATGACAATATTAATTCAATTGATTTTTAACTTCCAATTGCAACCTATATGTATTATTACCTTCATCAATTTCTTCAGGATCAATCATGCCCTTTCTCAAAGCTTCTCTGGCTAGCTTCTCAGAGTAACCAGAATCCATTATGGCTGAAATGAATTTTGCAATGGCCTTTGTCTGGCTTTCATCATCTGAATCACCTGCGTCTTCCACCTCATCTTCTGTCATTTCAACTTCCTGTTCAGCCTCTTTTTGGGATACATCACCTTTGGCCTTTTTCAGGGCACCAATCAAATCCATCTTTGTACAGTCATGTTTGACAATTGATAACAATGGGTAAATAAAATCATTTGGTTCTACCTCACCTCCCATTAAAACCAGCTCCCTTTGCAAAATCACCATTTGGTCTATAGTGAAAAAATTTAGGTGGTGATACTCATCCCTTTTCTGGTCAATATATTTTAGCCATTTTTCCAAACAGTTTTCCATGAATTTGGCAAGTCTAGGAATTATAGTGCTGACATCTTCCTCCTCAGTTTTTCTTCCCTTTAACTGGGTGCACCCCTCCCCACTTCCAAATTTGACAAAGGCACACACTCTCCTTTCAGGGTCACAAAGAAATCTGGCCTGCCAATTTGAGAACAGCACACAACCAGAGGACACAAGTTTGATGTACACATTGCAAAGTCGTACAACAGCATCAAAAACCTGCAAAAATAAATTATCAATGCAACTATAACACTGAAATTCTGTTATGAGGAAGACTGAATATGCAATAAAGTATAACATTTACTGTATCTGTTCGCCTGCTAGTAGATTTAACATGAGTAATTTTTAATGAATATTTATCATTTTCATACAGCAGTAATGGCTATCTCTTACACTAGTAAATCTTTCCACATCATCTTTTCCCATCTCTGCCTTGCCAGCCACCAGCATGAGTTTACTCTGGAGTTCCTGTAGCTCTTTATACTTGTATTTCTTCCTCAGCCTAGAACCTTCATTGTCCTCCTGAACATGCAGCTGTAGTACATCCTCCAATGTCTGAAGAAAAATTACAGTAAAATCTTATTATCTCAAACCTTCAAGGACAGTTTGAAGAGACCCATTATGTGCTTGCAAAAAAACTGCACAGTACATATTCTCTGTGCTACCATTTTGTTTGTTTATGCATGTAGATCTGGTAGTACATAAACCAACTTGAAACAGTACAAGTTTCACGTTTCAAATATCAAATTCAATGCAGTATGTAAGTTGAAATTATTTTCACGCAGCACTCAATTTGAAAATTGCTATAATAAATATACTTTTAAAAGAAATGTTATGTTTTTGATGACTATATTAAATAACTATAGCTTCTTCATACTCACAGGTTTTTCCTTGTGTAGATTTGCATCAATCTTTCCCACCATGTATATTCCTACAGAGTTGATGGCCTCTGCTTGTCTCATTGATGTCACCTCCACTGAACCCTGGGCAGATTTCACACTGTTGAGCCATTCCAACTGTCTCTTTGTGTCAATCTACAAGTACAAGTACAGTGTACAAGTAATGTCAACTCAACATACCTATTAATAGAAATCTTCCTATACTTCTTGATTTACAATAAAATCTTAGACAATATTAAACCGACTATTTAAATCAGCAATAAGCACATGACTCTCATTACAAGACCGTAATGCAATCAAGGACTTGCCAACTTTTCCGGTAATTTTGGATCTGAGGCCAGCTCTTTCCATACAAGTTCACATTTCTCTAGGAACATCTTTGAGTCACATTTTTCATCCAAGGTGAAAATCAACGGAGCATATCCAGTTGTTGCAGCATGAAGACATTTGACCTTGGCGACCTCCATGTCACCTTCACCAGCTGAGATACTGGCAAGGTCAACAAACACCTTCAACTCTTGGAGAGCTAAATAAGAAAAATTCAAAGAATTGTCACAGAAATAATCTGAAAAGTTTTATTCTATCCTGTAGAAAATTTAAATTAAGTCAAATTTAGTAATATTGAAGATGATGGGATTGAGAAAAAAAAAACTGAGATATTGAAGTATTTGAGATATATCAAGGTTGTAAATTCTAAATTTATTCTATATATCCTACATTTCATAGACTCCCTAATCCATTCCACCAGAGGTTTACAATCCATAAATGCCCCCAAACAATGTGCTTGTTCCCTCGTCATTCCTTTCAAACTCACAGTTGCCTTTATCAAATCCTTGTCTAGTTTGTTCATTGCAATATCCTTTCCTCTAGCCTAATTCATCAAAAACAAATGCATACAATGAAGTTAACTGATTTATCACTACCTAGTACTTTTACAAGTATTTTAGTGGTATAGTCTTGATATGTACTTGCTTAAATAGTATTTTTATTGTCATTCCAAATCTAAAACTGAACAGAGAGACGTTTTAAGGTACCAAAGAGAGGTACATAATACCAAAATCCTAACTTTAAGATTAATACATCTAAGATAAATTAATGGTAAAATTATAAATCTTTCATATTTCTACATTGAAAATTTGTGGTGTTTACAGTAATATGTCATTTGCCTCTAGAATGAAACTGTACATACCAATTCAACAATCAAATTCACTTGATCAAAATTTCCCTCCAATCTGTAAGTCTCCACTACATTCATGATAACACTGGCTCCTTCAACACACTGCTGGACTGTTCTATGTTCTCGAATCTGCTCCATTCTCTTCTCTATCCAATCTCTATCACCATCTGGGGATAAGTGTTGAAGTTCCTTGACTAAATTGTCATCATGCATTTTCCCAAAATGTTTCTGGAACACCGTGAATAGCATTGTGCCATCTCTTATTTGCTTTGTGATGTTCTGGAGATTTTCGTAAACTGGTTCCCAGACCATTGAGATCACTTCCTCTGTTGTCAAGGGTACTCCTTGTTTATCTTGCACACATTTTCTACCTCTCCTTTCCCAGAGTTTCATGAAGAGGGTTCCTTTACTGCACCTACATTTGTATAGATGAAGCATTTTTATTTTTCATTTTTAAGTAAAAATTTTTTATATGAACAAACAAATGGGTTTTTCCAAATCAACATGCAAAACAGTCATTTGTTTGACTTATATATATACATGTACAGGTAACACATCATTTCACTATAACATCAGGTGTTTGCTTTGATTGTGCTCATTTCACACAAGTATTGCTTAGATTTTTTATCATTCTCACTATATATTAACATAAAAAAAATTGCCTCCTGCACAGAGCAAAGAACTTACTTCAGCATTTTTGGAATGATTTCTAAAACCTCCTCATCTACACTGAATGCACATATCTGGGGCACATAGGACTCAACATCTTCTATTTTATTTAAGGTTGCAGGCTTACAGAGACTGGAAATCTTATGTCCCTTCAAATCTCTGAATGTTGATAGAGCTTCATCATATGCCAGGGTGTCCACTTCAAAAAAAATGTTTGTAATTTCAAGAATTCTCAAAGTGACAGCATCATTCTAGTTTAAGACAATATACAGTCAAACCTCGTTAATATCTCAAATTCAATGGGGCTGGGTGAGAAAACTTCAAGATAACCAAGGATTTGAGATATCCAGGGTAAAATACTTAAAAATAAGTAGCTGGGGCTATCAAATTACTTCCGCATATCCATGGTACTCAAGATATCCGTGTTAGAGAAAATGAAGCTCAACTGTACTATTAATGAGATGAGAAGTTACCATATGCATGTTATTAAAAAATTCACTTTTCAAACTACTGTGCTATTCTTATTACAGATCAGTTTATTATTTATCAGTAACAAGATATTGCTGAATTTTACCTTCAAAATGCTGACACATTTCTGTGAAAATTCCAACATCACACAAAATACTCTCAAAATGGGTGATTTCTTTCTCTCTTACTTCTATCAAAGAGACAGTAAGATTTTCACTGAAGGCACAATCTTTCAGATCCCTTTCAATCATGATCTTTATGATTTTGAGGAAGTTTTCCTGGTTTTCTTGAACGAGATGAAAATTGTTGACAGTAATTTCTCCAGTCTGTAGCTCCTCATATGCATTCCACACTTGTCCTGCTGCACTTATCAACAAACCCCCACTGTCTTTGGAGAGGAGTTTGGACTTCTTTTCCTGGTGATCTGGAAATATAGGGTAGCCTTTTTGTAAAACATGAATCCCCAACAAAACATTGCTTTCAAATTAATGCAAGTTCTAATTCCCAAGAATATGATTTTTTTCCCCACTATATTGTCTGTTCTCTAATTTTAAAGAAAACTATAATTCAAAATAGACATAATTTATTCAAATTCATTGCTAGCCTTATCAATATTTTTTATATGAAATCCACACCAAATTATCATATTTGAGACACATTTACAAAATTTTACCATTAATTTTCAAAACTTTTTTAGATTATCAAAAGTAACTGTTATGGACTTCACAATTTATACAAGAGGCCCAAGGGCTTAGAATCGCTCTTCTGAAAATTGTATATTAACCTATAATCTCTTCTGTTTTAAGTCTCTTGGTAACCTATATATATGGATAAAGCCTTGAAATTCCAGAAGTAGGTCAGCATGGCAACAAGTGACAAAGTTTGATAATTCCAAGCCAATTAGTATCTGAAATATTTAAATTTAGCCATGAAGTTGCAAAAGTAGGTCACAGTGACCTACTTTTTGGTTGATACACTCAGAGGACTCAAAATGCATCAACTGACAAAATTTGATGATTCTAAGCCAATTAGTATCTGAAATAGCAAATAAATTCCAAATGTACAGTCCCTGAAACGTTCTACTTTCCCATTTTTCCGTTCGCTCAACGTTCGTTCCCCGTTCGTTCAGCGTGCATTCACCGTTCGCTCCTCGTTCATTTACTTTGCGTTCACCTTGCATTCAGCACTCACTTATCGTTCAGCCTTCAGTGTCATTCGGAACTCCGAAGTGAAAGGACATATCTTTTTTTAAGTAAGGATTTACCGGTTTTGAATTTAATAAATAACATACCATGTTTAAAGAATCATTATTTCATGGGAAAAAAATTATCTACAGTATTTATTTTTATTATTCTAACTTAGCTGTTAGATTATTTATAAAATTTATCTGGAAAATAAATGTTGTTATAAGTACATGTGCAGTATGTACCTATGTAGAACGATGCTGAAAACTTAAATTTAAATAGGGGCAAAATACTGATACTTCAAGCACTGCAATATTTTGTTGTTATGTTCAAGACGACAAATCGTTAATGGATAGATAATAATTGTCAATGAAGTCAATTAATTTACCAACTGCAGCAAAAATTACGAAAATATTTATTTCTGTCACATTTTTTTCAAATAATACAGAAATACATGTTAGAACTTGTTCTGAGAATGATAAACAGTACTGTGGATATCCAATTAATTAAATATCTTTAGAGCGAATTAAATTGATAGTGTGGTTTAAAAAAAATATTTGTTTAAAATGCAATACATTAAAGAATTCTTTTTCTACTTTACATATATAAAGTCTTTAATTAGAGAGAGAAAAATACCTTTATAACATGATTATCATTTATATAACCAAGGTGATTCTCCAGTAATGATATTTTTCACCGTAACTTTATATGTTTGTCATTCGATATTATTAAGAGCCCCCCCCCCCCCCCCCCTTTCCCTTAAATCGGTTACTTAGTTAGTATATCCAGTACATTTTAATTAACATTTAAAAAGAAGTTAATGTGTTTTGCAGCACAAAAATTTCAGTCTCAAAACAAACATGCATCTAAACAAAGTCATTAAACAATAGTAGTTCAAAATATACATGTGCCGGCGGTGATATTTTAAATTGGTAGGGAGTATGTTTCAAATTCAAGCGGCTTAATTATTTCAAGTATTTATTCCCAATGTATTTTATTCATTGATTTTTTTAGTTTTTTTTTATAGAAATGTTGGAATCAGATCTAGAAATGATAAGAAAAATGTTAAAACTTTTTGGAAATACTAACACTTTGCCTTCGGTGTGACGAGACTTTCACACCTGCACAGTGTCGAATGATTTTGATTGACAGGTCAAGCACGTGGACTTTGTGTGAACTTGAAGCAGGAAAATAAAAACCGATTATGACTGTAAAACAAATGGATTTGTTGATAAAAGATGGTTACTTTCACTGCCTGATATATTTAGAAAAAAATTAGAATTTTTGTTTGATATAGGTACAAACATTTGAGGAAAGGGGGGGGGCTAAAACCGAATTTCTCTCTTTCTCTCTCTCTCTCATTTGTCTGTTTAATAAAAACTATGACAGCATATTACTTTAATATCAAGTTGTGAAAATTTAATATATAACAAATAATTTGATTGCCTCTTTGTATCATCTTGTCCGAGTATAATCATGGCCGGGAAATGTCTACAGATACATGTAGAAGTCTGCTCAATAAGTCATCATAAAAATTAAAACTGACACATAAATATATTATTGCATTAAAGTTTTTAAACTACGAGTGTATTTATGCAATATGTCCACATACCTTTGGAAAAAAAAAAAAAAAAAAAAAAAAAAAATTCTCATTATTTTACACGGAATCGCCTTGTATGGTTGTTACAACCGTTGTAATTCATTCTACAAGACTAGTCCGTAGTTTTCTCCTCTAAAATCCACATTATTTGTAATGGTTTTATATATCAAATAAGAATAAACATATTTATTTTACAACTAGATTAATTTCATTTCTTCTGTTATACTACAGCGTTCGGTAACAATTACAATGTTTTACAGCGATAAAAATTGTGTTATCAAAAAGTTGAATTTAAACATCGTACATATATGCAGAAAATATTGTAAGAAACTTAAATTAATAATTTTACTTAATGTGCATGTATCGTCTTTCTTAGGACAATTTTCATTGATTTGTTTATTTATTTATCATTTATTTATTTTTTTAGCACCAGACATTCGAATACAATAGAATAGTTTCAATGCAAGGAAAATATCAGAGGCATTCCAAATAAATCGTTCATCTTGCGTTCACCGTTCACTTTGCGCTCGCGTTTGTGCTCCGTTCGCGTTCTGCATTCGCTCACCGTTCATCATTCACACATTGTTCACCAAGTTGCGTTCAGCGTTCACACATCGTTCACTCACCGTTCGCTCTGCGTTTGTTCAGCGTTCGTTCACCGTTCGTTCACCGTTCGTTCAGCGTTCGCTCATCGTTCAAGTGGGAAAGTAGAACGTTTCAGGGACTGTAGGTCACTGTGACCTACTTTTAAATTGAAACACTTTGAGGACCCAAGATGCATCAACTGACATAGTTTGATGATTCTAAGCCAATTACTATCTGAAATAACCCTCAAATTCAAAAAGTAGGTCAAGGTGACCTACTTTTTGGTTGACACACTCCGAGGACCCAAAATGCATCAAGTGACAGAGTTTGATGATTCTAAGCCAATTAGTCATTGAAAACATAGGTAATCAGAGATTACAGAGCTCACCTCAACGAATGTTGTCTTTAAGTAAGGCAAAGTCCCACACTAAACTAATAATCTAGGAGTGTGCATCCCTAGATGCAAAATTTATGCAATTTTGGTCTGATAGGGCTTGCAGTTACTTGGGAATGGACTTATCTGAAAACTTAAAACTAGACACTCATTCAGAAAATGTAAGTCAAATCCAGCATCCGAAGCAAGTTTTGAGATTGTTGGTCCCTTGATGCATCATCCATGCAAGTTTGGTTCAGATAGGCCTTATAGTTACTTGGAAATGAGATCTGCTCTAAAAACTTTAATCTGGTCACTCATCTGGAAAATATAGGTCAGATCCAGCATCTGAAGCAAGTCCAGTAGTGTGAATCCTAAGATGTATCATCCATGCAAGTTTGGTCAATATAGGGTTTATAGTTACTTGGATATGACATCTGCTTCAAAAACTTTAACCTGGTCACTCATCCGGAAAATATAGGTCAGATCCAGCATCCAAAGCTGTATCATCCATGCAAGTTTAGTCCAGTAGTGTGCATCCTTAGATGTATCATCCATGCAAGTTTGGTCAATATAGGGCTTATAGTTACTTGGAAATGAGATCTACTCCAAAAACCTTAACCTAGTCACTCATCCGGAAAATGTAGGTCAGATCCAGCATCCGAAGCAAGTTCAGTAGTGTGCATCCTTAGCTGTATCATCCATGCAAGTTTGGTCAATATAGAGCTTATAGTTACTTGGAAATGAGACCTGCTCCAAAAACTTTAACCTGCTCCAAAAACTTTAACCTGCTCCAAAAACATTAACCTGGTCATTCTTTAGCTGAAATTGCAGCATCTGAAACCTTGACTGGTACAATGAAACACACTAGAAGCATCCTCCATGCATCTCTGACTAATATAGGCCATAGAAGTACTTGAAAAGAAAACTGCTCCAAAAACCTTAACCTGGGACGCCGACACCGACGCCGAGGGTATTACATAAGCTCCCCCAACTTCGTTGAAGTGAGCTAAAAAGCCATCAAATTCCAAAAGTAGGTCACAGTGACCTTCTCTTTGGTTGACACACTCTGAGGACCCAAAATGCATCAACTGGATTCTAAGCCAATTAGTAACTGGAAAAGCCATCAAATTCCAAAAGAAGGTCATGGAGACCTGGTTTTTGGTTGACACACTCTAGGTACCCAAGATGCATCAACTGACAAAGTTTGATGATTCCAAGCCAACTAGTATCAAAAATATTCAAATTAAGCCATGAAATTGCAAAAAGTAGGTCACGGTGACTTACTTTTTGGTCGATACACTCGGAGGACTCAACATGCATCAACTGACAAAATTTGATTATTCTACGCCAATTAGTATCCAAAATATTTAAATTAAGCCATGAAATTGCAAAAGAAGGTCAAGGTGACCTACGTTTTAGTTGAAATACTCCAAGGACTCGAGACGCATTAACTGACAAAGTTTGATGATCCTATGCTTCAAAGTGTCCAAAATATGCTCTAAAACAATTTGAACATGAATACCTGTAAAATCCCAAAAGTAGGTCACTGTGACCTACTTTTTGATAAATCTGTTTTAAGGCCCCCAGGTGCATCAACTTACAAGGTTTGATGATTCTAAACCTCTTAATATATGAAATAATGACCTTTAGTGTTTAGAAAATGATTAGCCATAAAATTCAGAAAGTAGATCAAGGTGACCTACTTTATGGATGACACACTTCAAGGTCCCATGATGCATAAACTGACAAGTTTTGATGATCATAGGCTTCAAAGTATTCAAGTTATGCATCAAACTTAAACTGAAAATGAATACCTGCAAAATTCAGAAAGTAGGTCACCATGACCTACTTTTGAGTCAACATGATATGAAATCCAAAGATGCATCAACTGACAAGATTTGATGATCCTAGGCCTTATAGTAAGCAAAATATCAATGATTTAACAAAACATAAATTTTGGTCAACTTTGAAGTGACCTTCAGACCACGCCCTTTGCCCCAGGGTGATGCCTTGAACAATATTTAATCTACAACGGGGATTTATCAGCCTATTTTGTGAAAAGCCTTTTTTTGGGAATTGGGAAAAAATTATAGGTTTTTTGATGAAATTGGGAAAAATGAAAAATGTTGCTTACCTCATGTATTCAGGTGTAATTCATTTAACATTTCAGCAACCAAACAGACAACTAAATATGTTCCAACTTCATCATACAAGATCAATTATGAATAATAGACTAATAAAAGTATATTTGACTTCAATGAGTATAAAGTCTTTATACAACTTAGGGTAATACATGTGTGTACAAGATTCCAATTAGGTCATTAGAATCTGTTTCTGGAGATTATAAACCTTCTGCAAAAAATGATACTAAGTGCACATCTTCTTAAAGTCCTTTCAATACGTAAAAATGCATTGAAAATATATTTTTCTATCTGAAATAATGCCTACAGTTCTTACTATTCACTCGTAGATCAGTTGAGTAGGTGGAAATTTAATTAACAAATCTGAATTATTACAAAATATCACCATTTTCAGAAAAATGGAGGAAATTCAGATTAAAAGTTGGCGATGTTTACAGTGTTTTTAAACATGTGAACATGACTGTAGCTTTGCTAAGTGAGTTAAATAGAGGAAAATCACAGACAATCTGACAATTTTACTTTGTGTTTTTCCAAGATAATTAAATATAAAAGAATTGTTCACCAATTGGGAAAAAAACTGCCAAATTGGGAAAAACCAAACTCATTTTCAATCAGGAATGGGGCCGAATTTCGACTCCTGTGAAGGTACTGATAAATCCCTGTACAACATATCCTCATCCTTTTATGTAAGTTTGGTGATAATCTGCCCAGTGGTTCTTAAGAAGAAGACTTTTTAGCAACCACTACTTTTGTTTTTATTTCTCTAATTATCTCCCCTTGTTTAAGGGACACATCCCTAGTTTTAGTATAAATGAAAGCCCTTGGCCAAGGATACTCTGTGACAAATTTGAAAAAAATTGACTAAGAGGTTCTTGAGATATGGCCTATTTTCCAAAAATTTTACGCACACCGCACAAATGGCCAGCATTAGCTCTTTGAGCCTTTGGCTCAGAGGAGCTAAAAATATCTTAACTTGTCTTTATCTTTTGAAACTTACAGAACATATTGAGAAAGTGGAAAAATGAAGGCCAGGATAAAGTGAACTGCAGCAAGGACTGTCTTCCATCTGAGCTTTTCTTTTTCCACATTGCTTCAAAGTGTCTGGATAGAATAATTCCATATCGATCCACACCTTTACTATTAAGAATTGTGTCATTCAACCTGCAACCCTTTTCAACAACCTGTAAATTAAAGACAGGATTTATAACAACAGAATACTCAATATATTTATTAGAGTATTTCAAGGCCACATGATTGCATAGTCAGGTTCAAGCAATAAAACAAAATATAACATCTTTATCATTACAATTTTTGTATTATACAAGTATTATATATCAACCTTCTTGAGACTTCATAAAAACATTTCTTCTTTTGAAAGCTAGAAACTAGAAAAAAAACTTACTTTGCCAAAGCATTTAAGATATTTGATTCTCCATACTGAAACAAGTTTTTTATATTTCCCAAAAAGAAGAGATATTTTGATGTTTGACAGCTTTTTCTACTATCATTATACATGTACAGATCACAATATTCAATAAAATGAACTTCATTTTCAATACAAAGAATACCTTTAGTTTTTTGACAAAATTTACATACTCTTTCATTTCTCAGAATATTTCTATACCTGCCACATTTACAGTTTACAATCATGAACAGTTAAATCCCCTTGGCTTTGGTGCCCCTTTGCCCTTTTGCAAAAAAATGTATGTTCTTTTTTTTGTGGACAGTTTTTTCATCTTCCATTATAACTGGACATATTCCTGTTTATATTCCAATATACATTCTCTCTGAAATATTTTTACCCTAAATACAATTCTAACTTCATTTTAGTGTATTAAAATGTTTTGGACTAAATCAGCAGAATAAATCATAATAGTCCACACAAAGCAAAACAAGTACAAATGAAGGTAAATCAAAACTTAATCAAAGTAGACATATAAAGGAAAACAATGTCATATTATTAAACAAATAAACAATATACATGTAACTAGTGGATATTGTAATTTTTTTTTAACAAAAAATTTCTTTACCAACACTAACGAGTGCAATAATATGATCAGGGTCAAAAGTAATAATGCAGTGCATCTCTGCTGAAAAAAAAAGTTGGCATTTACCCTTCTTCTATACCACCTCTCCATGTTCCAAGTTTGAAGTCTTAATGTCAAAGGGTTCTCAAGTTATGGTCTAGTCGTGTTTTCTCAATTTGACCTTGAAGGAAGAAAGGGGTCAAGGTCAAATTTTAGTGCAGTGCATCTTGTATCAATGTCTTCTTACTATGTTCAAAGTTTGAAGTCCTAAAATCAAAGGGTTCTCAGGTTATGGCTTGGACTCTTTTTTGATGTAAAAGATCGACCTTGACCTTATAAATTGAATCAAGGTCAAAAAGTTTGGTAGCGTGCATCCCTCCTTCATACCACCTTTGCATGTTCCAAGTTTGAAGTCTTTATAACAAAGGATTCTTTAGTTATGCCCTTATCAAGTTTTTTCTCTATTTGACCTTGAAGGAAGAAAGGGGTCAAGGTCAACATTTTGGTGTGTGCATCTTGTATCAATGTCTTCTTTCTATGTTACAAGTTTGAAGTCCAAATATCAAAGGGTATTCAAGCTATGGCCTGGACTTTATTTTGATGTAAAAGATTGACCTTGACCTTATAATAATTGAAACAAGGTCAAAAATTTTGATGGCATGCACCCCTCCTCCATGCCACCTCTGCATGTTCCAATTTTGAAGTCTTAAAGGCAAAGGGTTCTCAAGTTATGGTCTCATTAAGTTTTTTCTCTATTTGACCTTGAAGGGAGAAAAGGGTCAAGATCAAAATTCTGATGAATTGCATCTTGTACATGTATCAATGTCTTCTTTCTATGCTACAAGTTTGAAGTCCAAATCAAAGGGATCTCAAGTTCATACATGTGATAAGTCAAGGACCACAAAACTGTACAGGAGCCATAAAAAAACTGGAATTTGGGTGAAAAAACTGTACACTGCCTATCAAAAAACGGTACAAAAAATGGTATAAAATATCGCTTAAATTCTTCTGAAATTCCAGCGTAATCATTGTAATAAACATCGTATATTTTATACCTACGAAGATCTGGGTCAGATTCACGTATATTAAGTCATGTATATCAACTTTAGAAGTTGGCTTAATTTTTTTCAATCAAGTTACGTATACGAAACATTAACAGTAATTAAGTACCCCTTAAAAAATAAAGCTACCTAAAGGGGTATTTGATACGGATTTATAGCAAGATAATTATCCCAATTGGCAGTTCACACCTTCGCACGTGATGGTTTGTGTACACTACACAATTATCAGAAGGTCAAGTGTCAAACACAGATGACGTTTTCCAGTGTCTCGCGAGCGAGAATGAGAGGAAAATGGCGGCATTTAGTGAGAAATTCAAAATACTGTACAAATTTTCATATTCCGTGAATTTTGGTGTCCCGCCGGTACATGATAAATGGGCTCGAAAAACTGTACATTTTGCGTACAGCTGGTACATATCACATGTATGCAAGTTATGGCCTGGACTCTATTTTGATGTAAAAGATTGATCTTGACCTTATAAATAGGTCAAGGTCAAAAATTTTGGAAGTGTGCACTCCTCCTCCATGTCATCTTTCTATGTTCTAAGTTTGAAGTCTTAATGTCAAATGTATTTAAGTTAAGGCCCAGGCAAAATTTGGATGAAGAAGATCTAGAAGAAAAAATCGACCAAAAAAAGTCTCCCCCTGGAAGACATAATTATTAAAAGTGAAATTGTCAGTTACCTTCAAGTCCACCATACTCTGCATTTAAACAATGACTAAAGCTTCACTAATGTGATCAATATTCTTGCAGAAACATCTGATTAACTGAGAAGTAATCACTTTTTAGTTGTGAGAACTTTATTTTCATGTAATTACGGGAAACCATCTGCTCGCGTAAATTTCATTGATTTCTTGCATATTTATAATTCTACTACTGAAGATTATATATAGCAATAACCAGAAACCATGAAAAATTTGTTTGTTTTTCTTATAAATACCAAACTAGAACTGTCTAAAAGGGACAAATACCCCCTGCTGGGTTTTTCAGAGATGGTACCAAATCACTAATGTTTTCTAGATGTGAGAGGTGTTCACAATTTGCTTAAACATTTGAGTGAAAATTTAATTACTCATTATATTTTTTAATGAATGAAACTAAGGTGCAGCCTAATAAAACATCAATACTAATAATAAGTGTTTTTTATGACATTGAAAAAATAGTTTGCAACTATCTGTCATCTTTGTGAGACATGACACTCTGCAAATTAATTGTTGAAAAAAAAATATCATAATTAATTATACAAAATCAAATTGATCTTAATACCTTTTATATCAAACTCATTTTAAAAATAAATGGCTGGTTCCAGTAACTATGTATTTTGACAGACATAAATTACAATTAAGAGACTTAGACAACAGAGATCTTTATTTCTTTCTGCCCAATTCCCAGGAGATATAGATAAGACCTGCTTGATCAGAGATTCCCTAACAGCTTCCCACACTGAACTCATTAATTAATCTTTAACTGGATGCATGTCCACTCATTACTCCCAAGTGACATATGGATTTACACTATCTGCTGTGTAATGTAAAAAGTGTTTTTAATACTTTGTGATTTTTTTTTTAGTTCTAATGAGTAGTTTTAAGCTTTCACATTTTTGTACAGATGTTCTAGATTCTATGTCTCAAACCTTAGACATGAACCCGAAATGACTAAGTCAATAAAAATGAAAAAAAAAAAACACCTGTAAAATGCAGAAAAATCATCAAATAATGTTGAAAATACCAGGTGCACATCTTCATATTGTAAATAATAAGTGTACAAATTTTCATACAAATCTATGCAATAGTCTCTGGGAACAGATCCGGACAAAACCACATAATACAATTGAAAAAAAAACACCTGTAAAATGCAAAAAAATTATCCAATCATGATGAAAATACCAGGTGCACACCTTCATATGGCGAATAATAAGTGTACAAATTTTCAGACAAACCCTTGCAACAGTTTCCAAGAAATGGTCCGGACAAAATCTTGTCTACAGACAGACAGACAGACGGACAAGCTGATTCCAATATACCCCCCCTAAACTTCGTTTGCGGGGGGTATAACAACAATCTCACAAAAATAAGGTATTGCTAAAATTAAGTGATCTATAGTATACCCATGTGCTGGTGTGTAATTACTGTGTCACATTTACGGTGTTGTATAGTTTATTTGTCTTGTAAAGTATTTTAAATTTATTGTAATTATTGAGCTAACTTTGTTCCGTAGTATCTTTCAGTTATCCTATTCTGGACCTCTTATTCGAATACCCTTTATGGTACCTCTCCACTACCTGTATTTATTCACCTGAGTTTAGGCTTCCGCCCTTCTTAAAACCGGCTTTCGGACACATAGCTGCACGGGCTCTGAATGACCAATTAACTCTTTTACTCGCAACGTTTTGTAAAGTTAAAGTATTACTAAGTATAGTTACAGACACTGACTTCTGAGGTGAGTAACATGTTTAATGTACATTTTCTTCTCTGTTTTGTTAATTTTACGGTCCTGGGATAACTAATTGTTATTTCAACGTATTTTAATTTTAGTTAGTTTTGTTTGAATGTTCATTCGTTTGTATAGTCTGTATGTTCTATAAATATTATAGTGAGTAGTATTAATTAATTGATAATATCGGCTCTAGTATTTCAGTATTTAGTTTCATTATGATTCTAAACAGTAAAGTAACTATGTAAGTAAAGTTACTGTGTGTACGTTTAAGTTACATGTAAAATAATGTAATTATTGGGTAAAGCATTTAATACAAGTTCTGTAATGCAGCGCTGTGATGTTCACCACATTATTGTCCCATTATTGTGTATGGTGGGTTATGTGGGTCATAACTTGTATGTAGCTTTGTGTATAAATGTGTAACTTAATATGTTTATTATTGTTGTGTCATGCAGGTCCCGTCCCACATTCTACTTTGTATGGTATATGGTGTACAGTGTATGGTGCACAGTGTACGGAGTATGGTGTAATGTAGAAATTCACCGTTGTGAAGTGGACGGACGAGAGCCAGAATATTATGTACCATCAATTAACTAGATAAATGTGAAAACGTTTTGAGTTTTTATTATTTGGAAAACATTAGGGAAGAACCCGCAACATACTGAGGTCATTGGAAAGATCATGACTTGTTTCCTATGGAATAAAAAAAATACAAGGGTGGACATAGTTTGAACTATTGCTCTTGCCTTAAGTCCTGCCCTGTATTTCTCATACAAAGGAAGTGTGTACTCAGAATGCTACTTATGGTTCTCTAGCTTTAACAGAATGTGATACTACTATACAAATGAGACATGTTATCTCATGTTGAATTGTTTAATTGACTTCTGTTTCATTTATGTCAAGAATACTTTATCCTAAATGTGCTTATGAAAATGAGACACATAAAAACTTAAAACTCGGCAAGCAGAGACAAGTTTTTACCTTCAATGCAACTTCTGTCAGCACATCTTGCACTTCCGTAGCATATTCTTCATCAGAACAATAAATGTCAAACAAGCGGTCAGCTTCAACCTAACAGATTACAAGCATTAAAATTTCAAAATATGTATTCTTTCTTTAAATTTAAAAACAAAGGTAACCAAAGATTATGAAGCTCATCTTGACAAGTGTTATCTTTAAGCTTAAATTTCACACCAAATTTTTTCTAGCTAGTACGCACCCCGAGATCAATATCAATGCAAGACTAGTTTGGTTTAAGTAGGACTAATAGTTACTTGGGAATGGACCATCTTTTAAAATTTTAACCTTTTACTCATCCAGAAAATGTAGGTCAGATCCAGCATCCAAACCAAGTCTGGTAGTGTCCATCCTTAGATGCATCATTCATGCAAGTTTGGTTCTGGCTAGGCTTACAGTTACTTTGGAATGGACTTGCTCCTAAAACTTTAAACTGATCCAGAAAATGTAGGTCAGATCGCATCCAAAGCAGGTCTGGTAGTGTCCATCCCTTGACGTATCATCCATGCTAATGGGTTCAGGTAGGTCTAATATTCACTCATATGGAAAATGTACATCAGATCCAGCATCTGGTAGTGTCTATCCCTAATGCATCATCCATGCAGGTTTGGACCAGGTAGGGCTGTTATTTGGGAATGGACCTGCTCCAAAAACTTTAACCTGGTCACTCATCTGGTAAATGTAGGCCAGATCCAGTATCTGAAGCAAGTTTGGTAGTGTTCCATCCCTATATGCATCATCCATGCTAGTTTGGTCCAGGTAGGGCTTATTGTTATTCAGGAATGGACTTGCTCCAAAAACTTTATCCTGGACACTGACACCAACACCAGAGGTATAGCATAAGCTCATCTCTACTTCGTCAAGGTGAGCTAAAACTTGATTTCATTACTTATCAAAGTTTTTCTAAAAGAATTTTTTTTTACATGCATATTATACTTACTGGTCTTATGGAAAGGTCATGTTTAAGAGCACGCTTCACTTCAGAAAATATTAAAGTTTTGATTTCTCCATCCTTGAGATCAATTTTGAAAACCCAGGACCAAGTCTGCATAAATATAAATCAACCAAATGGCTTCTTATTTCATACTAAATAAGTTTATGCAATTTCATTTTCAACCTTAAAGTTTACTTTTAAATTTCTGAAAAAATAATTTATGATTAACACTTTACAAAAAATCCAAAGTTAAACAACCAATTGAAATTGAATTCAGCACTCTTAGGTGTTTTTTGGGAGAGGTTTACAATTCCATAGGATCTCCGTAACATTGCAAAAATATTTTTTTTAATTTGGACGACTTCAGGCAAAATAAAGTTTTTGGATTTTACTTCCTTTGAAAAAGATGAAATTTTTATCCATCATCAATAACCTAGCCCTTTATATACCAACACAAAGTAAAAAAACATCTGCATGTTTACAGTCATCTGCTTCAGCAGCCATGACAGGTGTTGTGTGATGTACATGCACTTAATAAAACATTCAAGATGGATTTTTTTTCTTTAACAGCAATATTTATCCTTAAACACGTTAAACTAAAAGATTTCTGTATTAATATTTACAAGATCTGCTCCCCAGCTGAATTCTCACTAGCTTTGACAATAAAATCTATCATGGTCCCTAAAATATGGCAAATAAATTCAAAATGCAATCATAATACATGAAAAATAACATTACCATTAATATATGACTTTTCATCATTTAAATATTACATAACTATACTTTTTGAGTTCAGCTAAAGCATGTTAATGAAATAGTCACTTATGATTTTATCCAAAATCTTTATGGGAATGAATCACTCTTGCAACCTGCACCATTACAGAGATCCTAAGGAGTTGTAGCCCTCTCTCTCTCAAAAGAGAATTGAAGAGAGCTTCCTTATTGCAGCTACACTGAAATCTCTTCTAATATTTTAAAGCAAAAACAAGAAAATGTGAATCAAACAAAACTATATGTATGTCTATTTTTAAAATAAATATCAATACCCTGAAATAATTCTTGGTGTCTGCATAAATCGCTTGTTGCTTCAACCAATGAATCAAGGCATCTCTTTGCTTATGAAGCACTGTTAGATGGGAAGTCAGACTTTTGTGTTGTGTACTTATTCCTTCCCCACTCCCTCTTTTATGAATGAGAAAATCGAACAATGTTACAGCCAAAGCAAAGATTGAGAATGTTCTGACACATAACCCGTTTTTGTATTTGAACTCGTATAGAACAGCTTCAAAAAGATCAGCAGCAATGTGGTAAGACATCCATGCATGGTTTAACATGTCCTCAGTCCTGAAAACCAATTTCGAAATGAACACAATAATGAATAGTTATTCATATGCAGTTACCACTGTAAATTCATTATAAATATATACTCACACTTCAGCATTCTCTGCATACTGTTGTTTAATTTGTCTTTCAGTAGTATCATAACAAACCTTTAAAACCTGAAGAAAAACAAGAGGCCCATGGGCCACAACGCTCACCTGAGTCAATATGGCTCTGCTGTTCTTCATCAGCAGATTTCTTCTCCTATATTTCTCCTATATATTCATATATAAATTTTGATCGTATGTTCTAGGCATACCCTACCTCAAGGTGCCATGTTTTGAATGAAATTGAATATAAATCTTCTGAGGATGCTTCTATCTTCACATAACTAATCATGATTTTGCTGTTCTTTAAAACAAAATTTTAAATATGTGAACACCCTACCCTGGGGAGGGGGGGGGGGGGTGTCATGATTTGAACAAACTGGCATGTACACTACCTGAGAATGCTTCCATATCAATATGACTGATCATGGCTTTGTTGTTCTTGATATTGAAGATTTTTAAAGATATTTCCTGTAAATGTTCTTTTGTAAAACTTTGATCCCCCATTGTGGCCCCACCCTACTACTGGAGGATGCCTTGAACAAGCTTGAATCTACAATATTTGGGGATGATTCCAAATCAATATGACTAACTGTGGCTTAGTTGTTCTTAAAAAGAAGATTTTTAAAGAATTTTCCTATATATTCCTATGTAAATATTTGATCCCCCATTGTAGCCCAATCCTACCCCGGGGTCATGATTTGAACAAATTTGAATCTACACTACTTGAAGATGATTCCATATCATTATAACCATTTGTGGCTTTGTTGTTCTTGAGAAGAAGATTTTTAAAGATTTTCCCTATATATTCCAATGTAAAACTTTGATCCCCCATTGTGGCCCCACCCTACCCCTTAGGTAATGATTTGAACCAACTTGAATCTACACAACCTGAGGATGATTCCATATCAATATGACTAAATGTGACTCTGTTGTTCTTGAGAAGAAGATTTTTTTTCTATATATTCCTATGTAAAACTCTTATCCCTCATTGTGGCCCCACCCTACCCCCAGGGGTCATGATTTGAAAAAACTTGAATCTACACTACTTGAGGATGATTCCATATCAATATGACTAATTGTGGCTTTGTTGTTCTTGAGAAGAAGATTTTTAAAGAATTTTCCTATATATTCCTATGTAAAAATTTGATCCCCCATTGTAGCCCCACCCTACCCCCAGGGGTCATGATTTGAACAAATTTGAATCTACACTACTTAAGGATGATTCAATATCAATATGACTAATTGTAGCTTTGTTGTTCTTGAGAAGAAGATTTTTAAAAATGTTCCCTATATATTCCAATGTAAAACTTTGATCCCCCATTGTGGCCCCACCCTACCCCTGAGGTAATGATTTGAACAAACTTGAATCTACACAACCTGAGGATGATTCCATATCAATATGACTAAATGTGACTCTGTTGTTCTTGAGAAGAAGATTTTTTTTCTATATATTCCTATGTAAAACTTTGATCCCTCATTGTGGCCCGAACCTACCCCCAGGGGTCATGATTTGAAAAAACTTGAATCTACACTACCTGAGGATGATTCCATATCAATATGACTAATTGTGGCTTTGTTGTTCTTGAGAAGAAGATTTTTAAAGAATTTTCCTATATATTCCTATGTAAAAATTTGATCCCCCATTGTAGCCCCACCCTACCCCCAGGGGTCATGATTTGAACAAATTTGAATCTACACTACCTGAGGATGATTCAATATCAATATGACTAATTGTAGCTTTGTTGTTCTTGAGAAGAAGATTTTTAAAGATGTTCCCTATATATTCCTATGTAAAACTTTGATCCCCCATTGTGGCCCGAACCTACCCCTGGGGGGTTATGATCTGAACAAATTTGAATCTACACTACCTGAGGATGATTCCACATCAATATGACTAATTGTAGCTTTGTTGTTCTTGAGAAGAAGATTTTTAAAGATTTTCCCTATATATTCTTATGTAAAACTTTGATCCCCCATTGTGGCCCCATCCTACCCCCAGGGGTCATGATTTGAACAAACTTAAATCTACACTATGTAATGAAGGTTTCACATAAGTATAAACTTTTCTGACTCAATGGTTCTTGAGAAGAAGATTTTTAAAAGATGACACCAAATTTTCACCAATTCTTAATTATCTCCCCATGGAAGATTGCGTGGCCCTTCATTTGAACAAACTTGAACCCCCTTCACCCAAGGATGCTTTGGGCAAGTTTGGTTGAAATTGGCCGAGTGGTTCTGGAGAAGAAGTTGAAATTGTGAAAAGTTTATGCCAACGACAACGACGACAATGCCAACGACGACAGACAACGGACAAATTTTGATCAGAAAAGCTCACTTGAGCCTTTGGCTCAGGTGAGCTAAAAAACATGTGCTCAAATTTAATAATTATTGTAAAACATTTCATCTGTGATAATTACTACAATGTTCAAAGTATTACATAAATATTTCACATCTTGAACTGTGTCTTTGAAAACAAGTATAGTGATGTATTGCATGAGTAATACTAGTCCCCTACAACAAAGAGTAATATTAATCCCTTTGAAAATTAAAAAGGCTGTAATTTCATCAAAAATCATGAAGCTGAATGAAATGCAATTCATCAAGGTAGACTCACATACAGAACAATCAGCTCAATGTCTGCTAATGTTTAGAAAAAGTGCGGAAAACCAAGTGGGACAGACTGACAGACATACAGCTAGACAGACAGACGGAAAAACAAAGAGGAAACCTACCAGTACATTTCCCTTCCATTTTACTAGTAGGGGACTAACAAGCATTCTGACCTTAAGACTTTTTAAGTATCCGCTTTATGGGTGAAGTTTGAGCCAAACTTGCCAAAGGGAATGGGAAATATGCCTTGACAAGTAAACTGAACAGATATGGATCCAGACAGTTGAAGTGTTAGATCAACTGATCACTACAGGGTGCCTGCATAGCATGGTCCCTTACAAGGTAAATATTATACACTAACCTCATCTTTGTATGTTGATACTCTATGTGACTTAGTAAAAAAATAAATTGCTGCTAACGTCACTTCCACAGGAATTAGTTCTGAAGGCACCACATCTTTTAATTGGTCATAATCCAATGCTGCCACAAATGATCTCGGCAGCAAATAATCCATGGAAAAAAGTGGACACAGACAGCTTAATATGGCCTTGGCATTCCTAGTGACATAAAAAAATACAAGTATATTACAAAGAATAATTTCAAACAAATTTGTGCACTGTAAATGTATCTCAAACTGTTCATATACAAAAAATCTCATTGAACGATGCATCTTGAACAATGCCATCAAAGAATAATAATGAGCCTCAATGCCTACCTGGTCACCATGGCCCTGCTTTGCATTAGGATTAAAGATTTTTGGAAGATTTTTCCTCTTCATTCCCATGAAAAATGTTGACCCTATATTGTGAATCCTACCTAGCCTAACTCAATGGGTCATAACATCATCAAACTAAAATCCACACATCTACTATCTAAACAAGCATTTATTTAAGTTTTGTCTTTTCTGGTCATGAGGTTCTTGACAATACAATTTTAAATGCTTCAAATGAATGCCCTATTTCTTAAGTTATCTCCCCTTGAATGAGGGCAAGGTTCTTTATATGAAAAAATCTGCATCCCCTTCACCCAAAAATGCTTTGTTACAAGTTTGTATAAATTAGCTCTGAGGTTATATAGAAAAGGTTGAAAATATTACAATGAAGCGCATTGAAGTGGTAAAATTTTTCATTTGAATGGAACGTTTTGAGCTTTCTTTAGAACACTGATTGTCATATAATGACACACCCATTTCTTAAGAAAGGAAAAAAACGGTCAAATGGTTCATTCGATTACCTGTAGAACAGGTATTCCATAAATATAATAGCCAATCAAATTGACGATCTACATAACACTGAGTAAACACGTGTTCGACCGATACATGTGTTGTGGTAACTCAAATAAACATGATAAATTCATGATTATGTATATATTCGTTGCAATACCTGTTGTACAGAAGAGGGGAGTCTCTAATCTCTCTTTTAACTTTATAAAATCTCCATTTCAGTGTAAATGATGTTGCTATCACAGAAAGTGGGATGTCCTAAAAGCATTACGACGAATATTTCTTTCTCGTTTCTAAAGAAATGGGCGTGTCATTATGTACCAATTGACGCTCGATAAGAAACACACAAACTTTCCATTCAAACGAAAAATTTTAGCACTTCAATGCCCTTCATTGTAGTTTACAGACAGCACACTACAGATGACAGGACTGACAAATGTAAGACTCTTTTCCATCAAGGAAGCTCATTTGAGCCTCAGGTGAGCTAAAAAGCAGAGAAATGATATCATATAAAAAATACCATCTTTTCTTCTTCACAACATTAAAAGCTCCATCAATTCCATCTATCCCCCACCATTTAGGAACTTCTGCTGAGTGGTTCTTTGCAAGTTGAAGTCTTTCAAAGGGTTTATGTATCTTTTTGGTCACAAAATGATACAATGGTACACAACAAAGCCAGACTGGATTGTCTGCATCCTTGTATTTATCAACAAGCCTTTCAATTGATTGAATCAACATTCTGGAAAAGAAATTATTTTTATTTAAAAATTTATTTTCTTGCTCATTAAATTATTTTTCACGTTTTAGATTTTATTCATGTCTATGAAAAAGAAAATGGGAAAGAAAAATTACTAAATAAAAGCCAATTGAAAGCAAATAAGGGGTAGGAAAATATTTCGAATTTAAAACTTTACTGCAGTCTCTGCATTGATGCAAACCACAGCCAACAGGTACCATCCTCTCCCATTCTGGCTGTGGTTGAATAAGAAGAGAATATTTCATAGCTTATTAAAATTTTGACCAATGTGAGTAAAGCATAGTCGAAAAATTAACTTTGACGCAACCTTTCAATACTAAATCACATTTTACGAAACAATTATTGTTTATTGCTGAGTGTTGATGTCTGTTGATTTCCACTGCAATAGAAACAAATATTGTCATTGGCTGAACATGACGTCACAATATTGAGGCGTAAATATTCAAGATTGCGATACTTTTTGTGATCAAACAGTCACAGGTAGGAGAGAGCTTTGAGCGGACTCCAAACCTTGGCTTGAGACGACGACGTTGGTACTATAAAATCTAACTCTTTAGATGTCATAAGAAACTGGCATTTTCAAGATGATAAAGTTACCAGAAATTAAAAATGAAATTAATTATTTTATCCAAGGTAATAAATTATTCTAAAAATTCTCTTTTTAATAATATAAAAATATTTTAGCTATGATATGGCTTTATTCATTATTGGTTATTACGGCGAAATCCCCGTGTCCAACGTACGTTACATAAATTATTGTTCGCGCAACTACAAAATATAAAAAGATCCACTTCCAATCCTCTAAATTAAATAACATTTAGGAAATACAATAATATGTATGCATTCTTTGTGATATTGTTGAATTTTTAGCATCATTTTCTCAATTTCATGAGTTTGGGCTGAATCTACAGTGCGTAAGTAAAATGTCCAACAGGAAAAAATTGTTTCCTAAAGTTGACATTAGCCCGCATGGCGATGTGTATTAGAAATAAATGCCAAACAAAGATAAATTTTGATGAATAATCTTTAAGTACATATGTTTCTAAAATTAGTTATGTTGATACATGTTATATAACTGCTGATACGTTAATATTAGTAATGCTTTGTTAAGTGTAGCCATTTTGTTATGCACGTACGAGTCGCTGTACTATTACTTAATATGTTTCAGTTACATATCAAATATACATAAATAAATGTCATATATATACCAATCATTACTGTATCTTGAAAGAACATTTCATACTGTATTAGATAATAACATAATTTTTACGGTTATCATCTACATGAAATAAATGCAAGTATTAATATAGATGTAGCCATTTTGTCACAGGTAAGAAAAACGTCATTTTACACACTAAATATATACGAATGACGTCGGGAGCGTCAAATTGTATCGCCGTGCTCTTTTTTTCCCCAATTTTTTGCTGGTCCGGAGTATCAAGTAGGGTAGAAGGTCCTTCTCCAATTATTTTAGAATAATCTTTTGTTTTAAATATTCTGAAAATTTTCATTCAAAGGCCGATACCCCCTTTTTATTTTGTTGCAGCAATATCTAAACATATCATGTTATTGTTCTTCTCTCTGTCTCTCTCTTTGCTAAAATGAGAATGAGAGCTCCCCCCCTCCCCCCCCCCCCCCCCCCCCCGAAAAAGTAAAAGGGTTTCTGAATTTGGTGGTTAGCCTTTTTTTTTTTCAATTCAGTAAGGTTTTTAATAGCGAAATGCCCCCCCCCCCCCCCCCCCCCCCCCCCCCCCCCCCGATTTATAAAGAGAGCTTAACTACTTGGGCTGATAAAAAAAACAAGAAAAGTATAAGGCATTCAATTTTTTTTTTTTTTAGTTTAGCGACCTCCTATAATGCTAGAACCTATCTACCGATTCACAAAAACATATCAGTACAAAAGCCCAAAATTAAAACAAGAACTTATACTGGTCTTTCCCCTCTTAAGTCTTTTTCGGGAAACTGGCTCTTGAGTATAATTTCCCCTTCATCAGAAATCCCACACCAGATTCAATTTTCCAGGGAAATCCCTACTCTGTGTAACAGTTATAAAGTGCGATCCCCTTAAGAGCCAATTTACCCCTTTTGCTATGAAATATCATGCCAGTACTTACATGTATATATGAGGGGGAGGGGGCGACATATGGTTACAAAATGTCCTTTCTGTAATTTTTTCACAGGTGCTCTCGCAGTAGACAATCTTAATGAAACTTCACAAAAATTGTAATAAAAAAAAGTCTAGTTGTGTCAACATTTCATTTAAAAAAAATGAGGAATTTTATTTTTAATGGATTTTTTTCTCCAGTTATATTTCATAAAACTACATGTACATAATATTGATTAGGTGTCTCGCCAAGTTTCTGGGTTTTAAAAGCTATCCAGTATTACACCTCTGTGGTCGAGGGGTCAATCCTATCCTACGGCTTGCAAGAGCAGTGCTACTTGTATTTTTTTTAACTACTAAAATTTCATACTAAAGGATGTTTTCGTTACAACAAAAGATTTGACCTATAGGAGAGAACAATTTTCCTGAAAAAGTCACATTTAAAAATTAATGTTCTTTAGTTGTTTTCTATCGTATATTTGTCTAAATTTTTCAAATTTGCATTTTGAACCTAATTTTTTTTATTTGCAACTTTGAAATTAACCTCCAAAGTTGGTCAAGACAGTATTTTGTCCGTTAAAGCACTAATTTTTGCGTGAATTTTGGAATAGAAGTCCTTCAGGGCAGACCTACCCCTAAATTAAATTATGAAATTTTGATAGATTTTTATCTAAAGAATGATTTAAAACAAGATTTTTTAGGGGCACCCCTGCCTTAGGGTCGAAATTCATAAAAAAAAAACTACAAAAAATGCGAAAACCTATTTCAATCATACTGGATTACTAGTATATTTATGACGTATGTTTACGTAGTCAGTATAGCTCAGAGAAGCAGGCTGTAGACTCTCACCATGGACAATTTCAGCGTCCTGGTTCGAATCCATCTGTTGGCACACTTTTATTTTTTCAAATTTTTCACCTATATAAGCACGAATTTAATTTTTTATACAGGCTTTTTCATTTTACTTCTATTTTCTTCCTTAAATGTATGTTTGCTGTTGATATAAAAGACATTTATGGAAATGCCGATCATAAATTCTCTTTAACTAAACGCAATCAACCGGAACTATACCTCAGTGTAAGCACACTTTGTTCGAGGACACGAATCATTCACTTTGTGTTACTCGATACTGAAGGTGTCACGAAAAAAAATCATGCTGAGCAAAAATTACTGTGTTTGTCTTTCAAGAACATATCTGGGTAATAGTACTGTTGTGCCATTGGGAGAGATACTGCGCTATGCAGAGTAGATGAAGTTCATTCCTCGGGAAAATTGTGTGCATTGGCGACATGTTATGTCAAAAATGCAGGGGAAAGGTTTACAGATTAGAAAAGAATGTGGTAAGGTCAGTTAAGGTTTTATGTCTCGTTGCCATTACCCAGGCATCAAGTAAGGACCCTCTTATAAAGGATGTTTCTGTAAATATCGATGTAGGGTCATATGAAGACAGTTGACTAGAACTAAAACGATACATGAGAAACAAGAAACTACACGCATGTGGCCTAAAGTCAGCGACCGGAACGGATATCGATAAGCTTTTTCTAAAGACTGAAACCAATATTGGCCATATAAGTCAATGTACATATTTACCTAGAAGTGATCCTTTGAAAAATTCCTGAGCGAAAACACTCATATTTCTATTAAAAAATCAGTTGACTTTCATATAAACTTTAGCAATGTCGATATGATTTAAGGTATGTCACTCGTGAAATTTGTTATATCAAGGATTTTTTGAGAAGTATATTTTGGATAAGTACTCATATAGTATGACTCAAAATTGCAGAGAAAATGGGGAGTCAGTGTGCATCTAACTGAACTACGGTACAATTAAGTTGACCTTTTTGCACTTAAATTGTAACTCTTTGGTTAATCACTTTAACCGTTATCATATTTTATCAGATGTAACCATGACAATAAACATAATCTTATTTTACGTAAAATAGTTTGAATAATAATTATCATTGAACAAATCATGCAAATTAATGCGCGTACATTATTGTGTGACCTTTTTGCACTAAAAAAGTCTCATATTTGGGGTATTAAAAAACTAAATAGGCAATAAAATATTTTCTTGTATCAAACTTTTTACGACTTAAGTGCTGATTGATCAAAAGTATCGAGAAGTTTAAAATAATGAAAGAAAAAGTTGGGGTCAGTGATGTAAATTTTGAAATATTGGTCAAAATATGCGATTTTCTGGCAAAAAACTGTGTAAATTTTATCTCGATTTCCTTAATATATCTTCATTTCTTGGCAAAGTTTGTTGAGCGAAGGTGTAAATTTTGTTATAAAAATTTAAATTGAGACCTATATTTAATATTCCAGGCATATCATAACGGAAAAAATTCTCTGAGTAAAAGTATATGAGGCTAAAGTTCCAAGATATTAAATTTAATAAATGTGTAGATTTGCAGAATTTTCTGCTAAATATCCTTCCACCACAAGAAATAGTTCCTATAAATCTTGCTTCTTTATGAATTTTTGACCAGTTTTTTAATTGAATGTTGAACATTTTACATTGTTTAATTTAAATATGTTATAAAAATTGAATTGTAATAAATAGTTTTTAAGTAAGAGGTTCTGACTGAAATTTTCTAAAAGGCTGACGAGTGACATACCTTAAGCATTGAGAAAACAGGGGAAAACCTACTCTGAGAAAGAAAGAGGGGAAAATTAGCTCTAGTGTAAGATTCCTGAGTATAGATTCCGGGGTGGGGGGCTGGTTATGGGGGAAATCCTACTTTGTACAGCGGTTGTCATAAAAATTACATCATTCAAATGTTTTGATTTCATATTTCCATTTTTCTCGTAGAAAGACACATTTTCTCTATCGTAGAAAAATATATTCCTTCGCAAAATCAAGGTTGTAAATGCTAGG